TCAGCGGGCCCATGTTATCCATACGCCACCCAAACAGACCACCTACTATTATTATTATGCTTGTTTAAAAGAGAGAAAACATTTCTTCCTCCTTGAATCCTCCTGTAACTGTATATTTTTAGGCAAGAAACAGGGATGCAATCGTAGCCCTTATGTTACACAAGAACACTATGGTGGTTAGGCCAACTGTTGTCCAACATTTTATATTAGTGGTTTAAAAAATAGCCATTGTGGCTGACGGGGCCAGTATCTGCGGATGCAAAGAAGAAGAAAATGCAATTTTGAATACCATATTTGTTCTACTCTAGCAATCGATTCCTAAAAAAAAATTTTAAATAACTTATAAAATGTGACTACAAAAACTAAAGGAGATGTTTATCTGAATTTTATGATATATAAAGGTTAGTTGGAAATTACTTTTAGACTAACTACGTTCAGTACTCTATACTACCTACTAAAGCTTCAATTTCGTGTTTAGTGGAAATGATTTTATTAGAACGGAAAGCTGCTAAATACTGGAAGAGTGGGCTGTTGTACGTTGGATATTCAAAAAAAAAAAAAAAAAAACCTATGCAATTCCTAATATAACTAAATACTCTAGCGAATTGAATACATGTTGCTATGTAATATTTAAAAATTATATGTTGCATGGTTGAGCTTGAACGTACGCACGCACGTTACGCGCGTAGAGATCCGTGTTACTATTCGTTCATGGTCCTGACCACTTTCTTTATTCGTGTTTCTTCTGCGTCTGCCACGCGCAAGACCCGCCTGACTGCGTCGAGCGATCTGTCGATAATCAGCCAGATATCTTTTGGAAAATCAGAGCCTTATTGCTTATTAGCTGCATTGTCTTCTGCTAGCTGAAGCAGGCGACAGACAGAAAGAAACAGGCGATGAAAAGATAACGCTTGACGAGCCCGGCGTCGTCAGTGCATCTCATATGGTTTCATTTTCGTTGATTTTTGTTGGCCGCCTATTATGGCGCCATGTGTCCTTTGATGCGGTCTGTGTTTCTCGCCACGCGAACGGTTACGGAACGCTGGTACAACGGCGTCGAATACTTGAATGATGATAAGTATTACGATTTCTCTTGCCACGTATTTTTGCGCTAGAACTCAGGTGACTAGCATTCTGCTATGATACTATCGATACTGCAACACCGACCTGGGCGAAACACCGCAAGTTTGACGGAATCTGTGTCCTATGAATATCTCTTGAGCCTAAAATGTGGCATTACAAAAATAGGGCTAACAAAAACGCATATGATATCTTTATCGGTAATTTAAGTTAGTATAGTTTCCCGTGAATGTTAATGCCAAAACAACCTTTCTCTTTAATAGTTGACAATCATGGTTGAAAGCATGTAAATGAGCTATCTTCCCTTACAAATGAACTATTTCCAATAGAATACGTCGTCTGTTTACTTTCTGGAACACGACATAACGCCGGAAATATTTGTAGTTTAAAAATTAAAAGATTACTGCGACGTATGGAAAACATGTAATTGTATAAACATAAGCTTACTGTACCTGATGGCAAGAAGGCTTTTCACATTTTGTACTCTGCAAAATACTGGCTTAACGATCCACATACAGCCTCTGCAATACTCATCATTACGTCACGGTGGATAATAACAAAAAGAAAACAAGAAACTGGGTTCTAATTTCTAGTTCTTTTTACCACTTACTTCTACATTAATCGGAGACAGCTCGTTCTCTCAGGTGCCTTGTACTACCTATCTAGTGGTTTAGGCAAATTTTATGGGCGAAGTGATCGATAGATGAACATGTCCTTCCATAAGGCACCTTGTGAGTAGTTACCGCAATATCTTGAAGACTTGATTATAATACTCATACACAATGTAACCGTATTCGCAAATATAGCTGCTCGTATTAAGAATTAAGTCCTTTAGTGGTCGCCATCTACTAATTATACAAACGTATTCCCAAGCGAAGGATTTAAGCAGAAAGCCCTGCTTTTGCTCCCACAGGTGAAACATAATAGATACACGATGCCACCGAGCATCCTGTACCGATTAGGTTCTGGCTGCTTTTTGCCGGCGTGTGTCAGATTATGAGCTAGTACTTGGGCTGAAACCCTCTGCTGGGCTGAAATGATTTGATTAGGTCCTACATGACCTTGCATGATTAGTAGCCATTTCTAGCGGTGAAGCAAATTTAAACAGCATTGGACCGCGCGGGTCATATGTTTTCGATTGAATTTCATTAAAAAGTGCTAGTTTTTCCGCTCACATCAGCCGACCCATCAGTGGCTACCATGAACTCGCCACCGCTACCCTAACTTTAGCCAAATTGTATCTAGCTCCATCGATCTAAATAGCTCGCGACGATAATGGTCATATAAGTCAAGCATACCAGGCCACCCACCGATTTGTCAGGTCTCCTGAAGGTAAAGGCCATAAAAGTATGTCAGCACGAACCAGTGATACGGTTGAACGTTACATATCTGAGTAAAATCGAACGTCATTAGATAGTGCGCATTTTATATAGAAGATATATGCGAGACAAGTGAGCTACAAAGATGAAAGTTAAGTAACAATGAATATATAGTACTTGGTTTAGTTAAGAAGAGACCAGTGTTAAATAACGCTGATTCTCCTGCAGCCAGTTTGACGTCCGTTTGGTGCTATGTAATAGGCAAAATACTACAGTACATTATGTTATTTAGTGAAAAGCTGCTGATTTGTCCTTCATGAGAATAGATTTTATACACTTTCGGTTTTGTCTCTCCCTAAGGACTTCACCGTGAGGTACAACCTGAACAGTTTTATCATTAATGATACCGACATTCCCATCAGTTCAAAAGACGGCATGATGGACCCAATCTGGATAAGTCACGCTGAGCCTTTTTTTATTTAGCTATAATTACTCTGTCCTTCAATTACTTTTACTAAAAAGTAAATAATTGTAAATTCCGATAGCACGCAGCATCATGAGAAATAGCATATATAAAATTTTACGTTACTCACAACGACGCCCGGGATGTGTTCGTCATGACGGTTGAGGTTCGTCTTATCCTGCACCAAAACAATGAGGGTGTCACACGCTTCGGAAGCTAACACAGAGGCCTAGAGCTGCCGCATCAATCAACGGTCGATCTGCCTCATCATTAACCTCAGCGCGAACGGTGCACGTCACTTGGTGTACAGCATACTCGCTGTAATTCGATGAATGTTTTTTCAAATGGAAGAACATGCGATCAGCAGTCAACCGACGCCCGGAGGGGCATAATAAGACACACAAAGAGAACAGAGGAATCAAGACGAATAAAAATGCGAAATATCATCATAGAAGTAAAGAATTCGCTTGCGTTCGTTTCCCAGCTCCCGCCGTCTCTTCATCTATCATTCGCTCCTATGTGTCACTATGCGAAAATAGCAAAAAACAGAATGAGAAGATGTCACTTGAGGGCGTGATTTACTGCGCTATCCGCCACTGCCCCCGTCGAGAGATAAGGGTGCGCGTATCCTAAGATATCCCCGAAGACTGCCCCGTTACGACGCGGGCCCATGTTGTACTATGCAGTGCACATAAGCGGAGCACTGTATGCGTTCGTCCTGCGCCCGTAATCTGCGAAGTCGCACACTTTTTAGCCGAAGCGCTTCTCTTAAGGGGCATTCAGTTGGCGCACATTGAATTGGCGTGAATTTGGACAGGCATCAGGGAGTTAAGCTGTGGTTTCATTCGATACCGATACTAAGCACGGTAAAGTAGACCGAAAAACTTAATACAGCTATAAGCCATTGCAAAACTTGTTCAAGCGGCGTCAGTAAATCGAACGAGCGGAATTAATTCGAAGTAAATTGGTACATCGGTGATTTGTTGCTAGGGGGGTTCACCGCCTTTTAAATGCAGTTTTGTCATATAATCTCTTCTATGTCTTGTTTGGCCATCATATTCAGTTCATAGAGCTACTGTAGAGCCTGAATCTTTTTCATAATAGGAGCTGGGCATTCTGCTTTGTTAAGGCCGTTTGCGTGGCAGTCAGTTGCAAAGACTGACATTTTGCAATTCGAAGCTCTGTGAAAATCTCTTTCTAGGAAAGCGATTCTCACTTTATATATCCAGCAGCACTCCACCCGGTTTGTCATGACGTCGAAAAGGCGCAAAAAAGATGGGGGACCATGAAGTAGCGCACGCTGCAGATCGAGATGGAGAGCCGTAGTGAAGATAAATGACGCACCTGACAATTCTGGTACATCAACCGCTTTTCATATATATATATATATATATATATAAACGACAGTTGGCGCTCTACGTAGCCTGTAGGACACCGATTATTTTCACGGTGTGAATAAGGACAATGCTACTTTGCATAGGGATTCGATCGCATCTATGTATGGATATATGGTAAAATGGAGTACATTTTGAGCGGAATATATTGGTAGCTAATTTCCGTATCCATATTCATTCCAGGATTAAACTGCAAATAGATGTTTTTGTTACTACTCGTTTCGTTACAATGGATTCATTATTCGGAGGTGAATCTGCCTTTTAATTTCTGCTCAATGGCAAAAATCGCGTGCTTAAAAAATTGCATCGTCGGTCTAACTAACTTATTACAGCTTCGTATATATTTAGCAAGAGTTTATATTTACTGCAGCTGTAACATGGTTACTTAACACAAATTTTGTGACTGTTTTTCTAAACTCCTAAATTTCTTTCGGATTCGGAGCAGCATTGTTGTACTGCCTTAACGTGTATACTAACGTGCATATGTAAAACATTCATTGTTGTTTGTTAGACAAAACGAGGCTAGAGAAGAAAGACGCGTTCTGGTTAGTACTGTCAATCTTCCACATCGTTTTCTTGCAAATTGAGGACATTCCTATGACGAGCAGTCATACATTTATCTCGATGTGACTACTAGCGACCTCTAGTATAATGAACGAATTAAATGAAGCATAGAAGATGTTAGCAAAGACTGAATAAATTGTAATTTATAGCATTTTTTAATTCACGTAATGCATATTGCAGCGATTCTCGAGCTGGACCCGGTTGCCCTCCGACTGTACAGTATCAGAGGTGTTAAAGCCAAACGCTTTCTCTGTATGGATGCCAAGGGACGTCTCATTGGAATGGTAAGATAATATTGATGTAGAATAAACTCTAACAAACGGTATCTTATATGGTGCCAATGCATAATGTTACTGAGGACAATCATAACCCTGGTTAGGATTTTCAACACAAAGCTACCCACCATTCAACAGGAATGATTGCTTAACGTTCACAGCTTCCCCAAAAAGATCTCAATACCACTTTATGAGACAATGAAAAAAAAAGTACTTATAAATCTTTCAAATTGTCGACCGTTGCTTTTTTCCTTGACATTTATGTCATCAGACCCATGAAATGTGGGCCCTAGCCCATACCTGTGCTTGATCTCACTGTAACTTGGAGAATTTCCAATCTAGAGTAAATCTATTTACTATTTATAAGGATTAGAGAGTTGATCAGTACTAACCGCAGTGAAAAAAAAATTAACAAGTAAAACAAACAGAACTTGAACCGTTGAATTTTTAGAACAGGTCTGTTAATGTTATAGATTCAAAAAAAGAACGTCACAGTATTTCGTTTTCGGTTGTTTCCATAGTATCTTTCAATGAAAACGAATTGTTGTTATGTTTTTTAGGGGTCATCTGATCGATTTGTGTGCTACATCTGCGTAGATAAACATAGCTAGATAAATAAACAATCGAAATCGGCATGAAATTTTCCTTCTGATTGTATTTTTCTTCGACGACGGACGGCGAAAGGAGTGCTTACTCTAACCTACCCAACGAAAGGCTGCTAAAAGCAATTAATGGAAGAAAGAATAAAGGCCTTAGCGGTAAACAATTTATTATTTACAAGTGAATCGACTGAAACCGTTATGAAACAAATTTAACTTTAATTTGTGCAACTACAACTTTATAAGCTAGGCCGTTGCAGAACTAATTTAGAATTCTACCCATAGCATATTCTGCTGCCATTATAGAACTATATTATTACAGGGCGATATCTGTAAGTTAGGCTTTTCCTTAAACAAGGCTCACCAAGACCACGATTTTGAAATCGAGCTCATCGTGCACTGACAAAAAAGACGTCCGTCTAAAAGTGACAGCTCGCAAGTGAAAGCTGAATTTGGAACAATTGAATGGAACGCTGCATTTTGGGTGGAATACAGTTTGATTTGTTAGCAGTTACAGTCCCACCGCACGATCACAACAACTAAATCTACTTTATTTTCCTATTTTTAGACGAGGGTTACGTTACGTCGTATTCGAGTCACTCAGTCTATACGTAGCTAGCTCGAAAATTGTTTCGGACATTTTTATTCGACTCGTATCTATCCTGTACGCTGAGGTCCTTCATCATCGCTCGTTGTCTCTGATATCAGAGCGCGTGATATCAGGCTGAACGTGAACCGAGGTGAAGTGGTAGGAAATGGTGATCCACTTTAAGCTCGGCTTGTCGCTTCATGGTTTGAACAATCTAGTGAATGATATTAAGGACCCGAGAAGAGAATCTCGAATTTGTCGGAATAGTAGTAACCCACCTCATAGAACATAATAAGGCGTCATTTTTTCGCTTTCTAGGGAGAGAGAGAGAGAGAGAGAGAGACCTTTACGCCTAAACATAGCATGCATAAATAACAACGGCATCCCGCGCAGCAAATATAATATAGTTTTAAATAATAATCGTTGGCTAGAATCATTGTCGAATGTTCACATGAGGAGATGTCAGATTATTATTCCAATGCGAAATTGAATTGGTTTAGAATTAGGGAGATATTCGATGGATCTAGAAAGCTAGTAATAGGCAGTGCTTCATTAAAGCTAGCATCTAAATACAATAGTCCGGCTATTATCTGTCAAGTTTATTTTTCTTTAAGATTGCTTCCTCATAAATCTATCGGTAGTTTGACCTTTAACATATATAGATATTCATAACATGCACAAATGGGCCATGTCACCTGACTTATCTCATAGCTACCGCAGCTCCGCTGTGCACTGAAGTAAATCACAAGAAATTTATCAGTTTGTTTTATGTGCTTTCTCCGGTATGAACGACCAGGGGCTCAAATCGGCGGCCCTTGTGCACAGGCAATTTAGCCGATCAACGAGACACATACAATCTTAGGAACCAATAAATTAATGGATGCTGTTAAGTCGTCTCGACTACATAAACCGAATATCGGCCGATTTTGTCATCCAGGAGTTTACCTTCTTTCGCTCAGGAAGAATTGGAGCACACCGAAAGAGTCATTTAGGACACACGAGAGAGTACCAGGCCGGCCTGTTCAGTGAGAACGTCGACTTTCTTAGGACTACTGTTCAGAGGTCAGTTAGCAGCGGCCTCTTGTCGCCCTGCTTGATCTATACAGAGTTTGAGCTATTCTAAACGCAATGAAATTAGGGTCCGTAACTCATGTAAGGTTTAGGCCTGGTCAACACGATACATAGCTGCCCTTATGAGCACGGGTGGACGATATGGAACCGTCCACCAAAGGCGTTCGTCGCCTCAATAGAATCGGCTTGCGTTTCTATTGTGGCATGTATGCGTATATCTTTTTCTGACAGTAGAGCCGAGGGCTCATGAACAACTGCGTATCCACTTGTCATGGTCACGACGTGGCCGTTTTTAATATCACTGTAGGATGCGCTACCTCGTATGACCCCTATTCCGATCATGTAAGGCTCAGCCTCAAGGTCGTAAAGTGAGTCAATAGTGCAGAATTTGTCAATGGTTTTTTTTGTGCTATTCTTTTCTGCCAGGATGCAGAAGAATTTATTCTTGAGCCATTTTACGCGGACGTGGGCGATTCCATATTCGTTCTTCCGAATGCATACAGATTCCTCTGGTATTTGCAGAGAATTCAGATAGCTTAAGATGTTTATCGTTTATATTACACGAGGTTTTAGGGAATCCCGTCGATCCAGCGAGGATTACAAATCTTTCTTCAGCAGCGACTGAACAGACAGGCGAATAATTGGAAATGTGTATAGCTGCCTAGTCTATCACAGAATCCAATGCGTTGTCAGAGTTTAAAACGGAAGTCTAATTATCTAGCCTTTATGGTCACTGAGAAAGAACGGTACATGTTTGTACATTTATTTCCTCGCTCCGAATCGACATCGATTAACACAATGCTTTATTTTTAAGGACGCAAACTAAGAGTTGGGACTTTCAATAGGCTGGATACAACCTTCATATAACATAGTGAGGATCCGAAGCATTGCCCTGTTCGACCTTGGCAACCGCCTGTGAGTGCGTGCGTGCATGTGTATGTACATATATTGAGATCTTTGTCCACTTCCTTTCCACTCATGTTCCAACGGTCCGAATTTTTGTCAGAGAAATGCGTCGTCAACTATCACAACTGTAACGCAAAGTATGAGTAAGGAAACCCTTATCTAAGGAGGCCAAAAAGAGTTTACCTAAGACGTCTTTGACGTATTGTTTTTAACCTGCAAAGCTGCTTCAACCCAGCCTTGTATGTTTAGCGTTAGTCACATTAACACATAGGGTGAACCCGCACTGGCTGCGAACATTAACTGCATACATACATGAGCGAGCTATTGCACAGCAGCAGTACGAGAGGCAGAATAAATGTACGCAGAGTGTGGCCGTAAAGTATAATCTTTATACGGGGCACTAGAGGCAGAACGACTAAGTTGCCTGTGCCGCTGCACCAAGAAGACACTGCAAGTCGCCTGAATTTGTATTTTTTTTTTTATATTGTGGGTAAATTTTTTCTATTTACTTCAATAGCGTTTCCTACCGGCATATGAAAATGGAAGCCAAAAATGATTTGCAGCTCCGATTGAGGGCAGAGCCTCAACTAGAAACAGGTTATATTAATAACATTTCTATATTATTTTTTAGAACTTAATCTCAAGCAGCGTCTGATTGAGTAAACACTTGTTCTCCAGAAATCCAGGAAGAATATTATCCACTAAAAATACTTTCATAAACTCTTACTATTCGGCATTCAGCTGTAATAAATGAAATAATGAACTTATTATATGAGCTTAAACGCTGCCCGCGAAGCATAAATCTGAATATTTAGTAAAACCTTAAAGCATATAGCTGCGAAATGTATTCATTGTAAGAGTATAATGAAATCACAGAATTAAATTTACCTACCTAGTTTACGCTTAGGCGACCCGCGTTTTTGTTCAGCGAAAGGTCAGAGTTGAACGCTCGATCAGAGATCCCTCGTCCAGCTCCTTTTGGAGACGATGCGCCCAGAATATAATGCAAGTCGCAAGGAATAGACCAAACAATAGAACAGTAAAGTTTGACGAGTTTAATCTATAGGTAAGTCAAAGATATAACCGTCTCATGAAATGGATTGTGCACGGTTTCACTGGGCCGAATATTTAGAAGCGCCGACAAGAGCAAGACTGTATATAGACTGTAGCATGATAAATATTATCTTGTCGACTTTGATGGTACTAAGCGATACGGAGATCCACCTTTTGCTGTTGTCAGAATCCACGGCAGTAGCAATGATAAGCGATAATGAGGACACAAATTTTCTGTCATAAAATTTTCGTTGCTGCTATGATATCCTATCCATTTTATAGTCAGATGAGGTTCAACAGAGTCAATATGCATTTAAAGAGGATAACACCGTCCCATTTATTTATTATCAAATATTTGATAACCGGGTCACACAGATAGTTATTGTAAGTAAGTAACCAAACAGGAAAACGATAGTTTTCCCAAGTAGCTGTAAGAAATGAGCCGTACTAAAATGAGCTCCATAGAATCTTACTGTTTAGATAGCTTTCGTTATGATCTGCTTTTCGTTATGATGACCCATGAACCAACTTGATAAACCTTTTTCTTACGGTTCGTTGGAAATAGACCCCAAGTCTGACACCGTTGCCAGCACCGATTTAAACGGAAATCTCTGACTGTATAGGCAGCTTGAATACGTATCAACTAGACAAAACCCTAACGCGCATTAAGCTTGCACATTCGTGATGCTAACCATAAATATCATACTGGATTCCATTTCTAACCTAAGGGCCAAAATAACTGCTTCCAGTTAAGTTAGTTATTCGTAGATAGAAAAACTTACTGAACGTCAATTATATCTCTTTCTTCATTTACATATTTTTTTAGTTACATATTCGGGAAGCAGCGCTTTTAGCATTGTTTTTGCGGACACGTACGTTAATAGAAACGTCAAGAGCTCACTATTAGCTAGCGTGTCATCTTGGGCTGTTTTCTTCTCGGAGGATTTTTAAAAACAATCTCTCCGAATCAGATCCGAATGGCAAGACCTGGAGATAGTGCCAGACTTTTGCGTATGCAGTACCTGTAGGTTTGATGCACGATGCATCGCTATTTTTATCCGGAACCAAAAAAAAATTATGCCACATCCTTTGCGGTTAACTTCTACATAGCAGTCTCACGTACTTTTGGGATTATGTTTTAGGTGAAGTCTTTCACATCTAACCATGAAAACTGATCATATATTTCTTTGCTTTAAAAATATTAAAGAAGTTTTCGAAGCGGTTCGGTGTCAGCCTGCTGTGAAGAGAACAGAGTAGGCCATCACTAAAATTGGATGGCTTTAACGCGTGAAGAGCTTCATACGCTAGCAACATTCTTTGCAAGAAACTAGCTTCGGAAATTCAGTATCAATTTTAAATAATAGATTCGAAAAAATGCTGTGTTTTTTGAAAACGTACATATATAGTAACTGGAGTGTACCTTGGATTCTAGTACTTTTGAAGATCGACAAGATGGTTAGCTGACTTACAGAGTATGCGTACTTTGCGGCGTGATGTAAGTGCACGTAGGCTTCAGTTGTTTATACGGATGTTACTAAAATGACGATTTTCAAAGTATACTGACGACATCATATATCAGTGCTACTTATGATTCTCTAGTGGAAAGCGTGCGCGAACTGTCCGTTAACGTTTATGACAACCTTCTCATATAAAAGACGACACGCTTGCTTGTTTGTCAAATAAGAGCTATGCCATCTATGGTCCACTACGTCGCCTGGAAAAGTTCCTTTACAAGCGCTATCTGTATTGAGGCCGTAAGCTGAATAGTCATTTTGACGCCGTGTAAGGGCGGCGACCTTTCCTCTTACCAGATATGTTAAGCTGGTAGACGTTTCTCAGACATCTCTGAATAGGTATGGGCGGACAATCATAGTTGCCATGAAGAGGGTAGCACGTACTCGGAAATGCACATCCGAGAATACGATGCTAAACTAACAAAATGCATCTTGGAAAGCCACTTTCGAAATTGAGCTGGAGTTGGTACAAACAACTACGACCTTCATTGGAACATGAAGTACAATTTAATCATAAACTGTAAATGCTAGGATCCTGTTGTAGCTTTATTTTTTATATGAAAAGGCTTGAAACGTGCTAACGCAACATCTTATTGTAATAGATTCAAATTGGAAGTGATTGTAAAAGTATATAAATACTCAAAAACGGTAAATCTATTATAGTTTTACGGTGTTCCAACTCTGCATATCTTTTCTGAACTGTATAACACCACGCAGTACACCAGCCCGCATAACAGCGGGCGTTCTCTTCCAGAAGAGAGTGGAATTGGAAGAAAACAAAGTACCACTTGTAAGCTAAAAAATTATTTTACACGTCTCAGCTTGTCTTGTCTTACACATCTGCAGTTATTTTCCAAGTATTCGTATAAACATTATTCCACAGTTTTATCAGTTAGGGCGCTTCAAAGAACGGTAGCTGCAATAGACTAGCTATGGAGAGATCATCTTGCAATTTGTTGTATAAATCAGAGCAACGGCTGAGCTCCACCTTTTCTTGTCCTTCCTCTTAAAGGTCCTACGTTCTTCAAGACAAACTAGTACCGAGAGCATTACTCTTAAACATTCGTTGCAGTTTACGGTTGGGACATCCTAAAGATTCTGTCTAACCTCTTTACGACACATGCGTTAGTGGTGTATTGAAAGCCGGACATTACTATAATATTTGTGTAAAATCCTCATTGTTTTAGTAATCGTTCATTCAATAGTTTGCCTACAGACAGAGTTAGTACCAGTTCTTGGAACCAGTGATAACTATGGGTCTTCACTGACCATTTGAAATAGTTCACTGTATGCACGTGTAAGAAATGATCTGCCTTCCTGTATGAGAATAAAATATGATAGGGTTTTGGGGCTGTGAAGTGCTTTATTGCACCGAACGTGAAACGGCAGTACTGCCTAACAGGCATCAAACGGATCTTCTAGTAGTGGCTAATCAAAACCTGCTCGAGACTAATTTCGAGTTTCATTCAATGTTAGGTTTAATATTAGATCAAAGAAATTCATGAAGTTACTTGGTTGACCAGATAGATATCTAGATTGGATTCCTCACAAAATGCTGTGTCTTTGGATCTCGCCGCTTGACTAAGTCTGATCCATTGTTTTTTTTTTATTTTCATTTTGCCTTCACAGCGTCGCCGTTCGGAAAAATGCCTCTTCCATGCTTCCCACCGACCTAACGGCTCTCTTACGTTTTCAACTCTGCGGACATCCATAAAGGGTGCACCTGTACGCTGGTTTGTAGCAATCAACAAAGTTGGGGTGGTAAAACGGGGCCGTAAAGAGAGCCACAAAGGCACCAACTTCTTGCCGAGGATCGCGCACAGACATCAAGCGAAAATCGGGTAAAGATCTGCTTCCCTCCCGCGCCCATTCACAACGATCAGCTGGGAAAAGAAAGCTACTAGTTCTAGCACGAGTGGCATTGCTGTTACCTTAGTGCATCATTTAGGATGTACAATTACACATGGATTCCTGTTGCACACGATGGAGTATTACGTTGTAACATAGACGTGTATTACAGTCAACTACGCCCCAGCTGTTGAAAAGTCAAAAGGCCAACATGATGTGATAGTATGAGAATAGCTACTTCCAATAATCCCATAAAATTCCACAATAGAAATGAAACAAGACCAATACTATCGGTTGAACCTTGTCCACGTAGCTTCGTTTTTGTATCCAATATTATGGCCTGCGATTACAGCTCTGGGACGTATATCCCTAGGTATATATACACGCTAACATATGCTAAGCATTCGTAAGTCGATAAGCAACAACTGCCACGGCAGATGCTGTATAGAAATGCGACCCTTCTGTATGTTAAGATAAACAAACATGAATTCTCTGATTATTATAATTCCTTTTGAGATAAGAACGGTAAATAAGTATAAGGTAAGGTGTATGATTAAATATGCATTTATGGCGATTTAATATGAATTTTAAAGCGTTCTTAAGGGCATATGGAGCAAATGATGTAGCATTCGTGTACTGCTGCAACGACTGTAGAAATAGACATATTTTCCACAATTTTACCTGTTCCAGTTTTCCAGGCCTAATAGGGGATCATAAGTTGGAACAATGTTTGCTGCCACATATGAAATGATCAATAAAGCCTGAAATTTGTTATGACCACCCCAAAAACGTAACAAGCCAACGAATGCCCAGTTGATGAGAACCATATTTAGTTAGCAGGATAGCAGTTCTGTTCATATATACCATTAGTATATATACGCATATAAATGCATACGCATATAATGACGCATTTAAAAATAGCTATAATGCGAATCACGCGAGTCGAAGCAGGAGTCGGAATTTAATTTCTCAAACCAGTGGTGTGATATTGTCGTTTTTTTGAGGAAGCCGGACAGCGGTAGCTTGGTGTATAGCAAGCGATACACAAAGTTATTAGCTAATAAACGACGTCAGACACTGCCAACATGTTTCGCTAATATCTTAGGCATATTATAATACCCTCAAACACATCTTTGTCAAAATCTTGCTATTGCAGCATTGTACCTATTACAGGAAGGACGTATGATTATTCGCCAACACAAGAACGTTTATTCATGTCGCTGAGTGTGTATGAAAGTCTCGCTCCACGGTGCACTCTGTCATTACTCAAAAATATTAATAGTAATAACAATAAACCATATGCTGCTTACTGCCTAGCTTAGATGGATGCCATTGCCTATCTCATAAATGCTACGAGGTTTAGAGAATTAAGGAAGGAAAACAACACATGTGTTGTTATCCTTCCTTAAACCGAAAGCAGTCGGTCGAAACGCAGGCTAACAGCTTGTAGTAATTTCCACATATTATTCTATAGGTAGCTGTACTTTTGAGTAAATACATGAAGGAATAATACTGCGGGATTACGTCAAAAAACATAAGCAATCGGCTTATGCAGAACAACGCGATAATTAGCATAGGAAACATACACAAAGGAAGTACATGCATTATATTGTATAGATTATACCTTATATCATCGTCGTGATATTTATTATTGGACACTTTTTTCTAGCTATTTTCTCACTGTATAGAGGAACGTATGACAAATTACTGTCTATGTAGGTTAAAATCATTCTTTTTTTTGTTTAATCACAAAATATAGATTAAGAGCCTTTCAACTAGCCTGTCTGCATTTAATATCATCATAGACCCTTTATGCAATATCATAATTAATAATAAGTAAGAACATAAGTACTTACTACTTAGCAGTCAACGTATACATTTTGATTGCGAACACTATAATTAAGTCCAATATACTGTATATGGCTGTTAAAAATACATGGTCAATGTTGTGTAACAACCAAACCACTACTAAATGCAAATAGATTGATCGCGCGATTGACAGATTCAAAGAAGTATGGAGGTTAGTGTGCCAGAAACAGCGTTCAATAATGGAGAACGCCACAGGACAAAAATGACAGGTGCGTGAAAAGGCAACAACTGCAGCATGAGACCAGGACATAGAAAACGAACGTAATTTATATGTATCCGGTAGAACTGTAGGTTCGTTACTGATTCATGCGAAGTATGATGGTGATTTCACGTCTATCGTAATAAGGGATCATATCCAGTTCATGTTAGGCAAACAACAAACAAAACTGAATAAATACTTGCAGTGACGATAACTATTATTACTATCACTATCATGATCGTCAGTTTAAACTCGCGTCTTCATTTCTAGGTAGCAACAAAGCTCATAAAACGAAAGACCTGCGAAATAGATAAGAATCGTTTGCCAATTAATGAATAAACCAGTGACCAAAATATTGTGTTTTTATGTGAAAATGGGTACTCTATTAAATGAAACCGAAGATGCCAATTCTGGAAGTCACAATCGCTATACGTCGGCCTCGTGATTTTCCAGTAGTTAGGTGGTACTTCAGGAAAGTGACGCGAGTCTCTTCTCTATGTTCAGGTTTCGTTAAACGTTTTTGTGATCTTAAACAGCTTACCTGTTAAAACCACACAATCGTCTGCTAGAAAAATAAGGAAGAATGATACAAGCCGGATAAAAAAGTACCAGAAGAAGTATATGAATATAAAAACCTGTACCAACGCGACTGCTCCTTAGAAACTTGTGGTTTCTGGCTAGGGTCGTATAGCATACGGCATTTGTCTATTATTGGTTCTGGATTCAAAACTAGTGCGCATTACTTGTAGGAGAATATTTACATCAACTCATGATATAATATTTATCTATTATTAGTTATCATTATTTAAAAATTATAAGGATTTGGTAACAGTTAGCAAATAAAGCACGCATAAAGAGTTGCAAATGAATACATGACTCGTTCATTTTTATTCACCGTTGCCACTACACTACAAGTAATTAATATTATTTATATTCTTGTTATTATAATTGTTACTATTGCTATCAATAGCAATCAATATCAACAATATGATACACATTTTTCATCTTCTTTCGTAGTGTTCTGATCACCCGCTGAACACCCTTTTCATTCATTCAGCACAAGCTGCAGAAACGACCTCACACACTCACAAGCGCACCAAGCTAGCTTTAATTAGTCACAAAATAAACATTTAATGATCTCTTTGTCTGGGGTATTGGAAATTATCGCCATTTACATCGGTCAACTTTCACCTACAATTTGTGCTTAGCTGTCGTAGATACTTCCGTTACTCCTTTTTTAACATTGAGCCGCGATTTTGCATATACTTATAGCTTCTGTTAGAAAAAAAGTGAATATAAAAATTATACTAGTAAACAGTTTAATTTTTACAATGCCAGCTTACATTATTTCCATCCAATATGAGGACTACTACGAGTTCCGTTTTTTGAAACTTACTCCAAAAGTACTTAAATAATGTTTACATCTATACTATTGCTTACTGATGTCGTCCAATCGAATGATTATGTACTTGTGAAAAATAAGTAGCTACCCATGTTGTTAACTACAATGGTTGTACTATATATAATTAATATACGTGCTAATCCCAAGTTGCATGGATATCATTTTCGATACTGGCTATTCTGTCGCCATCTTGTTTTCATCGATAACTGAACATGTGCAAATCTTAAACACGTATTGTACCCAAATATAAGTCAAATCACAAACCCCGCGGAACTTTTCTAAAAGACCTTCCCCCCGAATAAACCCCGCTTGCAAACACACTTAGCGCGAAATTTATCGATGTCTCATTGACGTTTCCGATCACTGAAATGCCCTCCTATAGTTGGTTGCCACATCACGAAACGTGCGAATTTGAATTCATGCGCTCACGTCAACCGCCGTTGACAAATACTATCGTTCACCGGCGGTTCAGCCCGGTTCGCATACTCAACTTCGCCCGAACATGCTATCCCTCGTTCTTTTTCCCATCCAATGATTTTTCTTCATATACACTATTCTCCCTCTATAATGTTGTATATAATTATTTTAATTTCAATCACCAAAAAAGTTTGTGCTTTAGCTCCTAAAATGTCACATCGCCTTTGTAACTGCAATACTTTAACGACCAAATAACCATTCACTCTTATATTCCCACCGAGTCATTGTCGTGATTATCATCGTCGGTCGATTCGTCAGAATTCGGTATTAAACGAGAGAAAACAGGGTCGGAAGAATCCTTGCCAAAATGTTCAACCGTTTTTCATTACGACAATTCTATAGTTTTTCTCTTCTCCAGACTTTCGTACGATGTTCGTCCATTTCATAGATAGCATTCATGTCCGCCACCATTTATATGACGATCTTTTATTTCGGTCGTAAGAGCCGTCGAAAAAAACGACGCAAAAAATGCTGAACAAAAAATAAACAAATGAGAAGAATAAGAATTGAAAAAAGAAAGCTCTAAAAAATTCGTCGCAACCACATCTCTTCTTTCTCTCCTCTATTCTTTTCTTACTCATTTCATGTCATCCCACCTACTCTATATACTGCCAGTATGGCTATGTGCTTTATGAAACATCGTATTCTCACAATCTTATCTACGTACTACTTTCTAATCTGATGTCAGCGAAAATGTTGGAATCGATATACCGTTGCAGGTGAAGGAGACTGCAGCGTTGTAGATGAGGACTTAGTTCTACTTGTCCCTCACTTCACGGGTAGAAAAGAAAAACATACCCGGCAACATATATACAAGATACATAAACGCTTGTATATATGCGAAATGTTTTCGTCACTTTTGCTTACGCTTTTTAGAGTCACCTGCGCCGCTCCTCTCACTTAGCATCCGCTTAGCGCTTCTCTGATAATAATTAATAATAATAAATCTCAGTAGCTGGAGTCCCTTGGCAAAGCCGGCATCATACAAACAGTTTATGACGAATGACAAGACTCGGCGAAAAATAAAACAGGAACTGGAAGCGGATCATAAAGAAATACGCAGCAAGATCCCCCTGCCTGTGCCTGTAATCTGAATGAATGATAAACTTCATGACCTATACTCAAGACGACCCATCGTACATAGAACACATTTATACTGTACCATACACAATCATACCGTTAATCTGTGAGCTAGCACAAATGCGCGGCATTTTCGAAATAGCAATTTCTCCTTAATTCGTCACCACTAACTCTTTTTTTCCACGTTCTGTTCAACACAATACAACACCACTATTACTTAGAGAATATACAGCTCATGGGAAGCACACAGTGCGTCAGGTTTACTTGGCCGTTCTGTAGCCGCTTAGAATACAGTGTTACCATTCGACGCCGTACCCTTACTTTCATTTCATGTAGCCCTTCATTAATCCCCGTAAACGTTTACGTCAGTCAAGCATACTCATTCATTCGCATACATGCAAGCGCATAATGGTCGTTATGTACTCGCAACCTCAATAAAACTTGCCTTGTATGATGCTGATTACTAATGAAGTTCGACTACGTATTTTTCCCCGGCATATAAGCAGAAATTTAATGGGCGGCCAATTTCGCTCGTAGTTTCCGAACTGTCAATGAATTCGTCATTCAGTAAATCTTTCTTTTAAACCGAATCCTTATATTCGATGAGTTTGTCACGTAGCTCAATAGCATCCTCGAAGGTCTTTACTCGAATTAAGAACATGGTCGGCGGATCGGGTTTATCGTCTTTAGCTTTCGGATCCAATCGAGGGTTTGGCACACACATAATCGCGACGTTGTTTTTACCAACATGTTTCACTGGCATATCCTTCCCTGTAATTGGACATAAATGATGGCAGCTAGCTTATATCGAGCTTGCTATGCCCTTCTTTTCGATTACGTGAGCGGTCCGGTCTACAGATAGCTAATGACTGTATATTAAAAGTCGAAAACGAAGCTAAACCACCTAAACTGGTTGCACCAGAACAGGCCCATATATGACCATGGTACATTCTTTTATCATCACTATAATCATCATAATTTAAGACACGATATTTGCATTTCGGTAGCAATCAAGAAAAATCTTAACTGTTTAACTTTTGAAGCTGAACGGAATAAATTAGCATTTCGCTCACCTAGACGAATGTTGAGTAGCACGTTTCCTAATGTGCTTTGTGCTCGTACGAGCAGCTGATAGCCTCCGCAATCCAACTTCTTGATATGAAGGAATCCAACACCCTTGTCTGCATACTGACCTTTTTCGTCGGATTCCGGCTTCTTGTAGAACAGCTTCACCTAAGGCAAACGCAACATTAACAAGAAATATTTACCGTCGAAGCAGAGCAAGATTTTTAGCATCCTGTTGTCCTTAGCCTAGGCCTAATACCCTAATGATAGACGTTGTATATTCACTGGTTCTGATATAATCAGAATTTGTTGGTGTTATTATGTGCATAGAATAGTCATATAAATGTACTGGTGTCTTTTTGTAAACGCCCGATCTAATGGCTACCTTTTTCATGTAAAGTGACCCTTCTTCCTCATGCGTAACCTCAACCTTAGGCGGAGCTTCCTCTTCGTCGTCATTGTCATCTTGAACTGCTGTTGTGGCTGGAATGGCCGAATTCGACGCTGAAATAGTTGATCCAAACTCGAAGCCGGTTTTCGCGTTGAATGCGAAAACCGGCTTCGACGTTGTCGCCTTTTCAGCCGTTTTATCCCCGGAGCCAGCTGTGAGCGTACTACCAAATTTAAATGTGACTGGTGGCTCTGTACTGGCAGTTGAAGACGTTGGGGCGCCAAAGACAGCAGATGAATAGCGAAATACAGATTTAACTGGTGACGAAGCAGAAGATGACGCAGCCTGTGATGTGCTCGGGGGAGCTCCAAACGTAAATTTAACCGGTGAATTTGCATCTTTCGCACCACTGCTGCTACTATTACTATTCAGGCTGTTACTGACTGTATTCGCCGGGACACCAAAGTTAAACCCCGCACTTGGCCCCACGTTCGAATTGCAGTCGGTTGATGCCTTAGGAGCAGTCGTAGTAAAAGGAGTCGTTGCCGCTTTAGCTCCGAAACTGAATGTGATCTTGGGTTCGGTATCTGCCGCTGCCTTCGAAGTAGTGACAGCACCTGTCGATGTTCCAAATCCACCAGTAATGGACGTCATTGAATACGTCGTGCTGATGTTATTATTGTTGTTCTTCTGTTGCCGCTCCTCCTCTTCCGTAGTTAAACGTTGGAAATGCTTGATGTAGTCGTCGAAACACGGTGTCAAATTTAGATACGGTCCACTATCCTTCATCAGACGGTCGATAAACTTTTGAATATCTCGATTCAGCTGGGCCACCTGGGGGCAAAGTTAAGACAACTACCGTATATGCGAATGCCGCGCCTACAGGCTGTGAACACGTGATAAAGATAAGAATGTGCTTAATCTTAACGAATGCATCTGCAATTAGTTTTCACCAATTATTTATAATTGTATATACATGGGTTAGGAAGACGATAAGGCATTCGAGATTGCTATCGCCTCTTACTTATCAAAATTTGACTTGCGTTCGAGAAACTACCAGCAAACTGACAAAAAATTAAACCATAATGTATTTTTTTTACCCCATTGAATTTAGCGTGTAAGTGTATCCACTGGTTAATTATCTAAAAAAATAATTCAGGGAAACAGTACCGACCGTTTTTCCGCAAATGTTTGTCAAAGCGCTACAATCTATTTGATTTATTTATTAATAAAATTTCAAAAAAGCTCTCAGCAACAACAGCAGACTGTTTTGTTTTCAGTGACTATAGCAAAATAGAGCTCACCCAAATAAGTTGGGCAACAACCCCATAATTTAAGCAGTCAAAGTCCTTTAATCAAATAATTTTGCTATGTGAAATCCGATTGGCAGAACTTACTGTGGTGATACTTATTAAGACTTTAATAAGCCAGAAATTGATTGTAAGGAGTTACAGGAAGAAAATCCCTGTCATAGCGTAATTAATCTAAGCTCTCTGAAAAAGGCATGCGTTCAAACTAACCTTGAAGAGATATTCGTCGGATGTTCGGCTGTTGGAGTTTGTTCCATTTGAGTTGACAGCGACTGTTGGCACGGAACTGGCGGAACCCCCGTTGTGGTTGAAGCTGAAGCCGGCGAAAGGATTTGGACGTGCAGCAGCGTCATCTGTAACAACCACCGTTAGAATAACGCAGGTGAAATATGAATATATTAAAATACGGATCATTATTTACGGCATCGTGTGAGCGATAAATGGCTATGAGCAACTAGGATCAGAAGATACTAGAGGAGCTATATAATACACGAAACCCAAATATCTGTATGAAGTTGCTAACTGCGTTCAGGGAATTAGATTACGCAGTTTGCACTAGCTACAGGTTTGAAGAACACACGAATAGAATATAAACAACTCATACGGCGTCGCAACTTATAGCACTGGACTATTCAGTTCCGTCAATAGAATCATTATTTCAGAGTCCAAAAGCTCGTGTAGATATAATCCATTAACTACTTATACATATGCTGGGCGTTTTTCAGACAGGGAAAACTGTAAAGACTTATCTTCTTTCACATAATATCCTTTTGTACTGATATCCGCCGACTGAATTAGAGCTTTTGTTCTTATTTTTTTTAATTATCAACTTTTTAAACGACTCTATAAGGAATAAGAAAAATGTCCCTCCAGTTTTTTATCCGCGCAATAACGACAGGACAACACCCGGTGACGACTAACGTCACATGTGACATTTGTTTATCATTCTGCTAATTTCCAGTTTGTATCTTAAATAAAACACGTCATCTTTTGTGAGTCACCGAAACAGCATAAAATCATTAACGAAACTTGAATAGCACCTGCATTATCTTTACATTATACAACTGAAGTGAACATTACTGGTTTAGATCAAAGCTGCAGACGGAAACCCCGCTTAACATTGGACTGCTTATTTAAGGAGAAGTGGTTGACTAGTAGTAATATATCTATTAGGTGTTGTAAGACACAACCTCCGAACTGCGTTTTGAGCGTAAAGTACCATAAATTATCGATCATTAATTAGCGACATCAACGAGCTTTTCAGAACTGTTTGTGGATCAACATTACATCTACAATCATTGGTAAGTGCCAATTGACATTTTTGTCAGAAGAAGCCTAACTTGAACGCTTTAAAAAATAGACGCAACCAATAAAAAATGTCTACATACAATAGTACAATGATAACGTGTTCGCCTACCCTAAAGAGACGTGATGGTTTAGGTTCACATTCAGACGTAAACACACTTCCTTTCGTGCTGCGAGCCAACACTCTACAGGATTGTCTCACGGTGATTAAATATTCGAATCATTTATTCTAAAATATATCGTATTATTTAGAAAAAATATATCGTATCATCATATTTTGTACTTTTTTAATGTCATTGTAACGTATTGAGAGTTTTACTCTAGTTTGTTAACTTGATACCAATATATGGCGTTGGTTATTACTCTGATGCATCCATAATGTGGTCGCTGTTAGATTAGAAAAAAATGGGACATTATATAAATAGCTTATATTGAAACAAATATGTGGTATTTGTCATTTGCGCATTCCTATTTTCAATTATGAAGGCTTTTTCTTTTCAGAAAAATCAATTAGCAAGCGAAGGTAGAATAATACAGAAATCTAAAGGGTAGGCGGTTTCTTAACCACACTAGTGCAAATATTACACCGGACTTAAGCTACAGTCTCAGACCAAATTGATTTATCGCAATATGACATAGCGTTTCGAACCTTCGTTGTCCTAGTATAACACAATGTACTTGCGATAGGCTTCAAGGACACAAGTTTTGCGGAAAAAGTTTTCTCCAGAAATTATGGTATTGGATGGAGCATTTATTTTAAAAACGTCCCAAGCAGGCTCTATTGGGTCAACTCTTTATTAGGTGGGGTTCACAATCAGTGACGCCCATATTGCAGCGTCTAAAATTGATGACCAGTAATCATAATCCTCAAAAGGTTCCTATTTGCATACACTTCGTAAGTTTACGAGAAAATTGGTACTCTATTTATCCTGACACCTTTAATGAACCTGGAGGATCTTATGAGATCTTCCATGGGTGAAACCAAACCCGTATAGCACTAGAATGATGTTCTAGTGGTGTAAACATCAGTATGAATTTATATACTACACTAGCGATAGTCAATACAAAGCAAATTCTTGGATGAGTGACGGTAATTATTTTTGTTCCGCATTGCAGATGTTCTCTTAAAATGTTTCCAGATTCAGCTGGAATAGAGCAGACGCACATAAAGATCTATTTTGCTACTTTAGAGGTGGCTTTTCCAATTCTCTGCCAAGCCCGCCTCTGCTTTTTACACGTACTATTTTCCAATAGCTACAATACCTTTATAACGAATGCTGTGTATATGAAATCAGCTGCCTCGCTTCAGAACCTAAGTGCATACTATAAAGGCATTTCTAGATAAGAGGTTAGTCACTGAATCCACTATTTGGAATTCCTCGTTATTTACGTTAGCTCAATATATTTACGGCCTAGTGGATTTAAAGGCAACAACGTGCTTTCTCAAGTCCGTTACATTTTCAACACGTCCTCCTCTAAGAATGGAAAATATCAGCGAGAGGGCTCGTGTTGCTGTAGAGTCAACACATTTTCTAAGAACACACGCTAGAAAAACGGGCGCTTACTACTTCTAAAGGAAGGATTCTGCACGGGTACTATTCGATCTTTACGAAGCATCATAACAATAATATAAATAATCACATCGTAGCATCACCTAATCGCAACATTCGCAAAACCCATTATCTCTCCCTCCAATTACCTGACTGTGGCAGGTTCCTTTTGGCTCTACGAATCGTCCTTTTTGCGAGGACATCCTCAGAGGCGCGCTCGAACACTCCCGCTTCCTCGGCCGATTCATCATCGTCCCAGTTTCTGTCATTTAACTGCTTTTCTGCGCGACGTTTAGCCATATTGCTCCGCCGGGTTGTATCGATGGGCCCAAAGAATTCAATATCACACCGTTGTTCGGCCTGCAAACGACTCAGGAGTTCGCCACGGATTTTTGGCACCACCTATGTACGTATTGGAAATATTATTGTGATCGTTATTTAGTAATGTAATTCTCTTTGATGTTTGCTACCGCCACTTTTACAGCTGCTGTCGTTGTTATTAGCCTACTATTGGGCAGGGGCAGCATGCGGCTGTACGTCGCCACCGCAGTAACGCATGAACAAGATGCCTGCCACACTCAACGGGAAACTATAGGCGAGCCCACTAGACTCCTACAGCAGCAGTGTTCGCCTTCAGTAAAGACCAATCACTAAGTAAGGCGACGAACAACATCTATTGATATGGACGACTATTGGCACGGATACACGAACGGCACGCGACTGTTTCTCACTTTTGTCTTTCGAACACGGCAATCAATTAGGCTGCGAGTTATACCTACGGCGGTAGGTAACGAACAGGCGGGATTCGCACATCAACGTTCGAGGAGGTACGAGAAATATTTTTTATGTACGAGCCCGGCAGCGCAATCGGTCCGCCCAACGATCGACGTAACTCGGTGATTAGAATCGATTCCAACCTCGTTTGCCTAACCGACTTTACCCTTACTTTGGAGCCTACGACTCAGGAATCATCACACGCTTTCACCGAATACGGCAGCACGACCTCACTGCACCGAAAACGCAACGGGCGAGGCTCTGTACGCTCGCTCGAATCTACGGCCACTGGTAGCAGTACACATGAATACACGAGCACACACTCACCACTACCCACAATGCTGACATCAAAACTACAACAGCTAGCAGCAGGAGCGGCGGTGGCAGCGAGTGGCAGCAGCATGTAGTAGTCACCGTCGCAGTAATGTGGCCCTACCACTCGTCCGCATACACAGGAATATTCAGTTGGAGACAGAGAAAGATTGTCGGAGCCAGCGAAAATCTCTTATCGGAGCCTGATTTGATGATGTGTTTGCTTCGAGCCGACGGTTGGACGGCAAGCGACTTTTTGTCAGAGCCAATAGAGCAGCGCGGGTACTAAACAAAAGCACGAACAGCTAAGCGCGGTAACTATAGGCGACGGTCATCCCATATTCGCCGTTTACAAGGTCCACCTATTAATGCCGTTTGCGAAGAAAGGTTTCCTATGTTTTTGCTAACAAAAAATAATATTTCGGCGCCATCTTCAACTAGAGAGAAAATTATTCAATTCGATGAATTGGTCGGAAGTCGTTTGGAATACAGCATGATCAACTGGGTGACAACATGATGACTGATGATTGACGATTACTCTATAATATGTTTGGCAGAAACACTTCGTATTTGTTTGTAAAATATACACGACCACAACATACATATGTGGGCGAACGATGGTAAATTCATTCTGTGTTTCCGTGCTGCCACTTGTCATATGGAGTGTGAAAAAATTAATATAGAGCGTAGGCGCAGAGTATGGGCGGCCAATCCCTAAACGATAATTCGTGGTGCGGCTGGTGTTTTTGGTCAAATTGTCGCGCGGGCGCCGTCGGAGCCGTGGTCTGTGGCTGTCCGCGAATGGCAGCGGAAGAAAAAACCTTAGGGAGCGGTATGAGCGATAGCAGCAGTAGCTGTAGGGCAGAGTCGCTGATGCATTTGTGCTATGCTGAATGCGGTGTCGCTGATGTGAGCAAGAAACAGCCTCCCGTGACGATCGAGTGTTTGTGAATTTCGTGGTCTGACCCTTTTCGATCTAAGTGGACAACGTACAGGTCAGTATACGTGTTGCAGTACAGAGTAATAGTGGTACTGCGGCGGACGTGTGCTTGTGATGTGTACGAATGCTCCTTCTTGTACAGATGACTTGATATTAGCACGAATATCTGATGCATAAAGATACATAGACGAGCAGAGACGTAGCGCTGGGTGTGCTGGTAAAACACACTTATGATTTCGTGTCATAGAACTTGGGTTCAATTCGGCTATTCAGTAAATAGTCTACAGCAAAATAGAAAGACGCTAATTGCAAGAGTATACTTGTTGACAATAAGAACACAAGTAAGCGATGTAACCGCATTGAATACAACAAGCAAATCATAGGCAAACACCTCTCGCTAAATCTGCAGTCGCCATACCAATAGATTTACTGCCATTTTATGACTTCGTACTTCGTTTTTTCACCTACCCATGGCACAGCATGAATGAAATAAATATTTAACCATGTGAATCCAAGAAATTACCGTTCATTCGGTTGAGTAAACAACAATTAATAAAATATTTAGTTGAAGTAGCCACATGAATACTCTTGTGATGGAGTACGTCAACAAACAAGACATGTGTGGTATGAATATCAGGTAGACAATAAGTGCGTAGTTATTATTATTAATGGTATTATTTTTCAAATTTTGTTTGTAATATTATTACTATCACTATAAATCGCTAGTTATTTTAATATTCTATTAAAACCGACTCACATGTAGGCCTTATTAGTTGCAGTTTTCAAAACTACACATCTTTCCGTTAATAAAGTATGCACCAGAAATAGAAGTATGATTGTGATTTGTATGAACGTAATCTCTCGTGTGGGTTTTGTTTGATATTCTGTTGGTGTTCATATATAATATATGGCGATTTTATATTATAACCGGTTAGTTGCTGCCATTGTTATCCCCATTACAAAGGATGTGGAGTCAGCCTCCGCGGTGGCCGCTTCAGGCCGCCCATTACCAGAATGTTCCCCACAATCAAGGTGAGTTCGAACAATAGTACCGTCGTTGTTCGTTTCCGAAAGCATTAAAACGGTTAAAGTAGAAGCAGTAGTGCTAGAATAAATGTAGAGTCTAAATTATAATTAGGGCTTCTTTACAGTTAATTTTGTTCGTACTTTCCTGTTCTGTAGAAGTTTTGCTAGTGTATCTGGGAACTTCTCGTCCTCTAACGATGTATCCGATCTATTACACTGATGAGAAGTTTTATCGTTGTTAATATTAAAATGGTTTATTCCATTAACGCTCAAGCTTTCGAGACACTGGAGGCATTATCAGGATGAATTCAGTATGATAGCACGCTCGATAGGACTTTCTTCAATGTCTGTATTACTTTCGTTTATTAACGTTTTCTTAAAGGCTGTACGATTATTTCATGCCGATATGTCCAAGTGCAAGTTTTAGCCTTTCAACAAAAAAAGGCCGAAATAGTTTAGTCTTACATTCCGATCAGACTTCCTCTGTAAGACATAAAGGATTTTTTTTTTTGTTTTTAAAGGTTGAGCAACTCCTTTGCGTGATAAGATCATCTTCATATGATTTTAAATATAATTCGAGGCTCCTGTTCTGATTCAATCTATCCTGTGAAGCTGCATCGTTTCATGCTATTAACTCTACTTCTAGCATTAAAAATATATATATTTTTTTGCTCAGCGTATAACCTTACTATCAACGATTTCCTGCACATTGCATTTAGGCATGTCTATTAATTTTCGTTTACTTACGAGGCTTTTACGTACTGCAATTGTGTTTCAGTCGACTGGGCGAGCCTAGCAAAACAATGGATCTCCATGCAGCAGCAGCAGGCTCCACCGCCGCCTCCGCCCCCACCGGACCCACAGCCACCGCCACCGGCGTTAGGGCTTCCTTGTTTCAATGTCGACGTCGAACGGAGAGGAACCCCCATGCAACCTGAGCCACCTGGCGAGGAACGACCAATGGTGAGCAACTTCCCGGTGCGGTCCAACGGCGCACTCTATTCTCTCAGTTGCGGTTAAATTTTGCGAAAAAAAATGTCGCTAATATCAATTTTAGTATCTTATGTTATATAGTCGCCAGTCGGTTCGATTGATTATCGTACCCAAACCCGTGGATGCTTTTGTCTAGTGATCCCGTTTGCACTGGAGGTGTTAAAGGCTTTCTTATCATCAAATCAAGCTGTACAGGGCTTCGAACCTAAAAGCATTGTTTCATTTTTTTATTCTTTTTTAACCTTTCGAGCTGATCCGCCGATAGTTTTTATTTACACATAAGCTAACTTCGAGTGTTCGCATTGTTCGATCTCAGGACGTTTGGGGCCAGGGCTCACCGGGAAGCAACGAAGCTAATAGTGGTGCCGCTGCTGCCATATTTCCACATAGTCAATCTATAGGCGGAACTATTCCTTTTCCTCCTTCTACCAATGGTCTACCGCCTGTGGGCCCTCTAAGTGCTTGCCCACCGATGGGATCGATGGGTCATGGTATGGGGCCTGCCGGCAGCGCGATGGTTAGCGGGGATGACCGCTCTTGGGGACAACCGCCGTCTTTCGTTCAAGCACCACCTCCATCGGGTCGTCAAGTCGTTGATTACGGTCATGGCCCGCCTGCACAGCAGGCAAACCGTTCTCAAAGAGTCGTGATGGACTACGCTCACGGAGGTGGAAACACACCCGCAGAACGCCGTATCGTCGATTACGCCCATGGCTATGGACAGGGTGGGGGCGGCCCACCTAATCCGCCCTACGGATACGCCCATCCTCCCCACACTCATCACATGCAGCATCAACAGGGGCCACATCATATGTCTCCAGGACCACTTCTACCGCCTGGCGTAGCACCAATGGTTCCCCCGGGAATGGATACAACTGTCTCAATTGGTAAGTGCATTCACTGCTGATTTCAAAAGGGTTTTTAGCGGAGTATTATAATATCATCTACCAAAAACCTCAGATTTAATAAAAATGTGCTTGTAGGTAAACAGTACATTTGGGGTCGTTATTTGTTATACATTTTTTTTATTTGGCAGACGCGGCAAAGCGAAAGAACCTACCGGCATGGATTCGTGAAGGTCTAGAAAAAATGGAACGCGACAAACAGAAGAAAAAAGAAGAGGAAGAACGCCGTAAGAAACAGCTAGAAAGGAAACGACCTCTTTGGGCTAAAGGAGATGAAAATGATGACGAGAACAATGACGCTGAGGGTGGCAGTAACGGTACCAAGGGATCTGCTGGTGGCGGTAACTCTACAAATCCGCAGGGTAGACAGCCAGAGTCCGATGAAGAGTTACCTGATGACGAGGAGGCGATCAAAGAGTCAGAGCTGATTGACGAGCCTCGTGACGTTAACGAGAGAGGTGACGAAGTTGGCCCATCGAGGAAAAAGGCCGCTACCCCGCCACCAATTTTCCTTACAGCTGAGGAAAAAGAGCAACAGTTTGCACTTAACGTTAAGCGTTTTATGACCGAGATCCTCATCACTGTGCTCACCGATGAACTTGATGATATTTCCGTTGAAGAGATACGTCGGGCGCGGAACCGGGTAACGGCCAAACCCAAGAAAGTTACGTCGGCCTTAGCCAACATTGTCGGCATAAGTAAGTCAGGGTTTTTGCTCGACTCTCTTGGCAACCGTGGTCAAAAAATTATTTATCTTCAACAAAGACATACTAAGTGGAATAAAGGAATGCAGGTTCACATACCTTTAACATCCCAAAGAACGCGAGCGCTGTCGTATTAAGATTATTAAACTATAAAATCACAAACTCTCATTATGTTGTTGATCTTCAGGTGGGTACTCTGATTCCGATGCATCGGATAATGAAGTTCGAAGTGAAGGTGGCGATGATTCAGATCTTGAGGAGCGTATCTTGACTCGTCGAAAAGCTTTTAGAAGATGGGAGGAAACTGCCATGCGAGAGTTGGAGGAGCGAGAGGTAGACCAGCTGAGAAGGATGCGTCGAGAAGAATCGCCAGATCCTAGCCCTGCTGATAGAGATGTTCCAGCAAGTCCGAGGTCTGGACGAACGCCCACGTCACGGAGCCCTTCGAGGTCGCGAAGATCTGCAAGTAAAAGTGTGGACGAGGCAGAATCAGAATCGCGAAGTGTGTACGAGGAACCTAGAAGCGAGCACAGTGAAGTGTCCCGCAAGATGGAGCATAAGAGCAAAGAAATCGATAACAATAATCGTGACGTCGATCAAGAGGAGGAAGAGCGGGGATCGCGTGAAAAGAGCAAGAAGGAAAAACAGAATGAGAGTTCATCTTCCAGAAAGAGAGGCGTTGAAGGTAGTTATGGCAGACACCGATGTTAATAATATTTCAAGGTAGTTTAGACTGATTTACTCCTGAAATAGTCGAAAGAGGTGTATTAAACCTTTTAGCATATGCTCCTAAGTAAAATCTAAGTGCCTTTTTGCTGCTCTGTACTTTACAGATGAGGTTCGCGAAACGGGTATCGAGCGAGCTCGTCTGTCTCGCGAAAAGGATAGAAAAGACAGTAAGGACAAGGAGCGTAAGGAAAGAAGGAAGTCTTCAGATGACTCCGTTTCGGATATCAGCAATCGGATCGACAAGCGAAAGAAGAGTTCCAAGAAAGATAAGAGAAGGTCCGATACATAAGGTTAAACCGTATTCAGCCTGAAATTTGGCGACCCTCCTGGATTGTTCGTACAGGACGTCGAGTGGTTGCGAAAGTTTTTATTTTGGGATTATGGTAGTTTTATAGGGCGAAAGGGGATATCATTGTGTTTGTCCAAGTGTGTCTAGCCGATCTCCATTTTTCATCAGGTCTCGCAGCAAGGAACGTTCGAAAAAGAAGCGATCTTCGTCGTCCCGTTCTCGCAGCCAAAGCCACAGTCGGAGTCGTAGTCGCGAACGTCGCAGAGGAAGGTCGGGTAGTAGGGGCCGAAATCACCGACAAAGGTATTTAAAGCGCCTTTGGAGAAGCGTCTAACCAATCAATCAACCAACCCCCTGATGGCGGTGGCAACAGTTACTGCCTGCCGCAGCTTCTGAAGTCAGGCCTATCGAGTCCACTTTACACATTCAGATGGAGAGGCCGTTGGCTGGACGAGGTGGTGGCGGTTAGAGTGTTTTTTCAATGATGCTAGTTTTTGCGTTTTGCTTGTTACCGGTTGTGTTGGCTTGCGGATCGGTTGCATTCCGCGTTCCTTTTACAAAACTCGTTTCGACGTTACCGGGTTTCCTTCTGACATTGCTAATACCGTTTAACGTGGCCAAGGGTCAACGTCTTCATCTTGATCCAACTATCACAGTATTTAGGAGGAAACATTTATAAACATATCGTACGTATGGGCGATGATGTGTGTGCGGTCTACGTGTGTGCAAATGTAGGTCAAGGAGTTACGAGCGACATCGAGGCCGGGAACGAGATCGAGATCGCAATAGGGACCGTTTTCGCGAACGTGACGCACGAACTCGTTCGCGGTCTTGTGAGCGGCGAAGATCTCGGTCTCGATCGAGAGACCGGAGACGCGAAAGAAGCCGCGATAGGAGTCGCAGCCGAAGAGAGCGCAGCCGCAGCCGGAGCAGGGGTAGGGATAAGGGGGACCGGCGGAGACGAAGGTAGAGTGAGCAAGATCTGTAAAAGAGCGGTCTGCTCGTACGACCGAGTAAGGTGGAGAAGATATCAAGACGAGTGATTGATGTTGAAGGTAACAAAAACAAATGCTTAGTCGTTGTTCATCGATCCGGTGGATGGTGGATGAATGCATTTCGCCAACCAGCCAGCCATTCAGCTACAGCAGCTGTCGTCAAACATCGTGACGATGTGCAATCTCATCATCATGTGATCGCTATCTCACAAACATGCAGCTCATGACACATTCTCAGCTCGTAGAAAGGTAGGTTCCTTTATGATTTCACGTTCTTCTACTGGGTTGGCTGAAATCAACTGCATAGGTGGCATCAAAAAGATCAAAATGCCTTCTCCTTCTTCTGAACTTCACTTCTGAATCCGCCCCAACGAGCGGGTGAGCAAAAGACCCTTCGTGGGGAGTAGACGTCACATGACACGCAAGTAGGGGCGATGCCAGTGAGGTATGGGGCCTCCGCTGAGCCCACTGCTGTGCTTATACCTTCGACTGCTGCGTGGTTGTAAACGGGAAACTGTTTTCGGGGGAAGAACGGATTAATTTTGCTGAATTTTTAGTCCATAATAAAAAGTAATAAACTTGCTGAGAACAATTTACGCGAACAAATGGGGCAAAAGCGCTCATCTGGCCTACGGTTGATGAAGTCACGAACATCCAGTAAGCACAAACTTTCCTAGAGATTTTTTAAAACGTGGTGACCGACCAATACGTGACTCGTGGTCGTCACAGTGATATAATGGTGTTGTCGAAGTTGGTCGATGCTAGGGATTAGTTTGTGAATAGGTGGATTGTGTTTCAGCGAGGACGATGGTGAATGATACGAAGCGAATGCTGAGTGAGCAGCAGCAACAGCAATGCTGGGAGGCCAGCCAGGCTAAGTTGTCCGAATCTTAGCCAGAACAGGGGTTGGCAGAACGGAGATTTAGTTCGCCTGCTGCCTCATCCTTCACCCTCTCACCATTAAATGTACATAGTCATCAGCGACGAATGAACCCATCAATCTTCAAGCAAGCCGTTCATCGTAGTAACTCTCTGGCTGGCACGGAGGTGATAGCTGTATATTTTCTAGTTATGTCTTGTCTATTATTTCCTTACAGTATATAAATAATAAATTACACGAAATGCTTGTATTCCGTTAATAATAAAGGCTCAAAGCCCGAGGTTTCCGAAACTGCTCGGCTAATAAAATGAGTAATTACTTAGATACGTCGTTTTTTTTTATTCTTTCTAATACTGTAAACAGTGAAACACTTAGTAAGTCTTCGGTGAAGGTTAAGGTTGTGTAGGATAGGGCGAGCCGCATTTTGGCCGCAAGGGCCTAGGCAGTTTTCGTGACACCTCGATAAATTCTCCGCCTAGTTTCTACTACCTAAATCGTGATATAAGGGACAGTAATAATACACAACATATTATCTTAATTTGTTATTTAGCACTCTCGCATTTTAATATCGTAACAGATGTAGTAAATATGTGATGTGTTCACTGAGTCGCCCATTGGAACAAGAAAGGTTTAGTTGTCGCCGGTCAAACTCCGAACAAACTGTGCAATAAAATCAAAACGAATAGCACTCTCCGGGATGTTCTCCGTTTGATTTCCCAAACAGTCCTAAGTTGTTCCTCAGGCTTTAAGAAAAGGCGAAAAGTTAGTATAAAGGTTAAAGTGATTTAAGGGATATGCAGTAAAAAATATGGTCGACGATATTTCGACCTCGTCGAAATATCGTCGACCATATTTTTTTTATTTTTCGACGAGGTCCACTGTTCATTCGAGGTCACTGTCATTTCTTGAAAACGAGATTTTTCTATAGATTGCTTATCGGCGTACAGCCACCTTGACTGAAGGGGTGAATTTACTTTTAATTGGAATGAGGTATTCACTCACCTCAACTGAAGAGGAGAGCTCATTTTCGTCGGAATTGTTTATATTATTATGATTTCACTTAACTATTGTTTTCTAGATGATATATTTTGCGTGAGAAATGTGCTGAACTTGAGGTTAATTGAAACCCAATTAGTGAACTGTACTATGCGATCACCTAAATCGCACCAGATTTTTATTTTTCTTACTTTATGGTAAATAAGTATACGTGGAACTAATCGAAAAGAAGCTTCATGAGTTTAATTTCCTACATTAAACGGGACACATGCAACGCATTATTTCTTTGCATAGGTTTCCTTCTAGAAGGCTTTGCTAGTTTATGATAAAATTAATCTCTCATAATTTCTTAGATCGAGGATCTCTTCTGCATCGTACCTAGAACTAGAAGATTGTCCATATTATCTCTTCCGATTGCTCATAGTGAGTCGTTTTTCCCGAAAGGTATTTAAGAGTATGTTAAAACAGCGGTAGTAAGGCCTGTCATAAAGAAGACATTCGAGAATTAGCTACAAAAAATAAGGGCTTACTCTCGAAGAGTTCTTGTATTTGTGCTCCCTATCGAAAACTTTTATACCTTACTCCTTTCTGGCTACCTTGTTTTTCAATTTCTCGATCTCTGTTTCGAGTACACCAATTACCTTTCCTGCATTTGTTTAGTAATGGGTCTATAGAAACGATGCACCAGGCAAATTAATTTATGATTACGTACCTTTTTGTGTTCGCATGTATTTTTAGAAATGGCAGGCTGTGGATTAAGCAGTTTAGCACCTCAGCGCTGTGCTAAAAGCTAAGCTTTTATGTCGAAAATTGCATAGATCACTACTCCGTAGAGATCTAAGTAGAGATCTTATAAGTATCAGAATAACTTACAAGGTAACTACGAGGCACGACCTTCCTGAAGCTATGCCTCACTTTTCTGTTCTTTTAGGTCTTGCAGCTCTGATCACGACTAGTTATAATGGATACCTAGCATTCTTAATGTAAATATACGTTACTACAATTATGCTAATTACTATCATTATATACAAAAAACATCTCAATAAAGCCAGCATAATTAATACATCTTATTAGAGCCACGTGGATTGAATAGTTAGTTCAGGATAACTTAACTCAAACATCTCACGGTTCCTGCCAGGTTTCATTGTTATTCTTGATATACTTTAGTTTCCAAAATATGAGATTTATGTTAGGTAACGGATACTTATCATAAATTATCATACGCTGCGTTTAGAATTCATAATTAAGTAAACGACAATATTCTTTTGTTAAGATAAATTCAGTCAAACTGGCGAACTGCGCAGTATACAAAGAGGATATTTTCAAGTGGGCGTTAGCTTACGGAAGCGGCATGATTCTTTTTCACATTGACATACTGTATTTCGAAAATTGCAAATATGATAGCGTATGGTAATCAGATTTGTGCTGAGATCTCGTAGTACGTATAGCCGATGCGCTCTATCTCATCATCTCACACGATTGTTGTCGGTGCTGAAGAACTAGGTGGTGTTATCTAAGTGAGCTTGATAGGTTTGAACGTTTTCGTACAAGTGTCGAGATGAGAAAAGGAACAGATCCCACTTGGGAGCAGAACACATTTTAGTAGACGGCCTTGTTAAAACAAAGGCGCACAACGCGAAACTGCTTAAATGTTTCATGTTTTTAAGTATGCAATCGCCAACGTAGATAGCTCAGAGAAAACCTCCAGCTGGTGTCGCGTAAGGTCGGTATTAAAAATCACTACAAAGCAGGAGGATTGTGTTATTATAAAATACAATAAAAGGTTCGTCTCGTATAATATCTTCCAGAACAAACTAAAAACCCGTGGATTTTATATCGGAGATACACTTCGTCGCCGACTTTACGAGGCTGGGATCAAGGACCGTAAACTTGCCAAGAAATGTTTAATATAAGAGAGGGTTTGTCAGCAGTCTGAAAATGCTTGCAGATGTATTATCGACATGTAGGGTAGTAGCCTGCCGGGTATTAGGTTTAAGATAGATAATACCGCTTTTATAAGCCAAAAGTTTTTCTTTTTAAGAAATCTTAGTATTGCGCAGTTGGCCTTCGGACTATTTCACTCAATTTATTCGGGCGTATTTGATCGACCACAGACTGTATTTTAATTAGATACATTAGTTCTGTCAATATGTCCGCAACAGGGATAAATCTACTTCAACAGCACCACGAACGCATTTGAAGTTGGTTCCTACATTTCATAAGTGTACACAAAAACCTTAATAATTAATCTTGAGCTTATTTTTTTTATAAAAACAAGTGGAGTTTTTTGTAAAGCGTCTAGCAGGCTTTCGTTGGCCTTGACAGTGCATTTCAAATAAAAGCTTTAAAGAAGGAATTAAATTTCTTTATTCAAACAGGTTGTGTAGCGTTCACGGGGCTTCGCAGGTATTTATACTAATATGTTTACAGTTATTTGCAAAACAAATTGCTTTCTTTGCTTGTTGTCGGAAGCCAATAAAGTATTTGCGTCCAATCCTGATGCGACCTGATAATCGTCCTGCATTAATAAAGGTTCTCCGTTAAAAATAATATAGTGTAATAAAGAAACGCAGTGGCAGAGTGCCCAATGATTATTAGCAGAATTAAATCGGTTCGTCGCAAAATTACGTCTAGTCATATAAGAAACATTCCTATAAAAAACAAGTTTTTTACCTCTACGCTTTATCGTAGTAAAGGTCATGCCAGTTTACAAAATAAAAACCGTAGTTAACAAAAGATTCGTAAAAATGTACCCGTAGATACCAACCATAGAATAGAATCATTAACCATTTTATAAAGGTGTAGTCAAATCAGAAATGTCCGAGCCAGCCAACGAATGTTCTCTGTCTTCATCAAGTACCTTCGTACTTCTTCCTTGTAAGACTTTTAGACGACGAGACAACAAGAAGCTTTAGGAGCTACCTCCCATCCAGAAATATCATTACAATGTGATGACATAAAACGTCAAAGGTGGCACTACTCCTTAATAAGGGTGGAAGAAGTGCAGAACATCTACCTCTGAATGCCCAACCGGTGACTAAAACCAGTACAAATTTTCATGCAGAGCTCCCTGGTCATCAGCATCCTCGTCGTTTTCCTGCTCGGCAAACAGTTCGGCCGTTTCCTGTGCTGCAGTGAGTCTGTCTTGAGTCATCAGGACTCGGAATTCAATATTCTCTCGACTAAGAGCCCAAAAGGTTGCGGGCTTGAGGTGCTTGACTGTGTCAAATCTGCAAATAGCCGAAAATTCATATATGTCATATCGTTTACATGAAAATAGCTTGTGATGTCCTGATTGCTTAAGTGACGTGGATTATTTCGTGGCGTCGTCCACCTGTTTTTACGTTTAAAGAGTATATGGTCATACGACTGACCTGACGAGATAAAGCTAGCTGAACCTCTGTATCACAAACGCGTTGCGCCAATAGGTATAAAAATCAAATTAAATGCTACATCTTCATGATCGGTAGCATACCATGAAATCGTATAATGGGAAAAATGGTATTTATGAGAGGTATGTGTTTTATCCATATTGTGTTTTAAGGACAGGAGCTATATGGCTATCTATGACTGCTATCGATTAATATCAGAAGCTGAGCTACGCCAAACATTGTTTTAATAGAGCCTTAAGCAGTTGTTCGCAGAATTTATAGTGCAGGATATGAAACAATGCAGCATATGTGCATAAATACGCGTCTATAGTAGTACAAGTGTAGAATGTGTGGCTCTAAATTATGATCAGGATATCTGATGTATTTATATACATGATTAAACTTGCATGAAAAGGATAACTCACTTCCACCCCAGATGTCGATGACATTCCGAGCAATTACCAATGGTCCATGCATATCCAGGATACCATGAAAATGATTCATCTCTTGCCCCCTGATAAATTATCCGCCGTATTTGACCAACCGTCAACAAATTATGCACATAACCCACTCTGTTTACAAATGTGCCCTGCAAAGAAAAAAAAAACAAAAATCACGTCACTGAAGCCATTTGTACGTAGTTCAGTAGTAATGTATTTACTTGGTAAATTTAAAAACTAGTGGTGGTGCGCATACATAATTCATTTCCTGCTATGAGTCAGCCACCTGAAGCAATGCCTAATGCATGTGTGCAACTTGAAACTTTTACTACATGTATAAAGCTTTTTGAATTCTTTGCATCCAATAATTATAGCATAAGCTCTTCCCTGACAAACACCTAAAATGTAAGTACAGAAGAAGAAGGGTCTCACTTTGACCAAAAAGGTTGAAATATCTGAATTCTTTGAATGATTATTGACATAAGCTATGAACTTAAACCAGCTTTACGAGTCACAATAAGTAATTACTGGCAAGTTCCGGCAAAAGATTTGACTTTAGATATACTCCGCTAACATATAGGAATAGCTCTCCACAAATTATGTTCATCAACTACATATTCATTGCTTATTGAATTATGCCAAGAGTAGGTCAGTTGTTTTACCTGTAAAAAAAAACTTACCTGTGCCCCGCTTCGTGACATTGAGATAATATATGCTTTGCTACTGATAACTTCATGGCAACCTTTACAGCAGATATCACAGTTTAAACTGAGGTATACAAGGGCCATCCGTAGTCGATCCTGAGTGCAGCTTGCCGCGAGTAGAAGTCGCCGCTCATGTGAATTAACAGGCGAGTTGGCAGCTGCCCAATAGGAAAACTTGACTGGATCCGTGCACGGTGGGATCTTCTTAAACAAAGAAGTTAGTCCAATAGAATCAGAAAATATGAGCACGCATATACTTGAAATACAGTACGAACGCATTCTTACCTTCTTCACGAAGGGCGCTATCGCTTCTGAGACTTTCTGAACTAGATATTTTTTGTCAAATTGGTTGTATAAGAATCTTGGCCATGGTGAGCAGGTTGTCATCAGACCGCGATCCCTTTGCCGTTCAAGCAGCAGCCGTTTCTCAGGGGATTGAAGTGTAACGTCTTTCAGTATTTGCACCTTTACAAAACGGAGCTGATGTCTTAAGAGTTCCTCCATGAGCTGGAATCTGTATTTAGACATAAAGAACACGATAAGGTTAATCATGCATTTATGTCTTTTCTGTTGATTATTTATACGGCAAATATGCAAAACTTCGCCTGCCCATATCGACAATTTAGGTAAGGAAAGGGTTGACTTGATCGTTCAGTAAAAATAGGTACTTTCCATGATAACACAACACCAACGTGTCTTCCAACTAAACTTGAGGATACGCAAGGTAATTTGAGTTCGAAACCGGATGTAAATCCACATCGTTCCATGCAGACAGCCAACCGTCTGAAGCGGTGTTTAACCGCAGTAATGCACGTAGAATTTTATAATTTAGTGTATATAAGGTGCACAGGTACATATGATCGTAAAATATTAGTGGAGATTTTATTAAAAGATTGTAGAAAAAAATAATAGACGTCGATACCAAGTCACTTATGCCCTACCGATCCTGAAATGGATTGCTCCAGCTCTTTTTGTGCTCAGGAGAGTAATATTATCTCAGTGCGGGATTTATGCGTGTTCGATCGATTAAAATGGAAGAACAATTTTTTGTGTGTTTTCGTTGTTGAAGATAGTTTTCAAAAGAAACCTTTATCTACATTAGCGTTTTATACTGACACCTCTCTATAAAAATTAGCCTGATATCTTCGATGAGCAATCTTCAACGCACATATTAAAAACGTAAAGGTTACGTACTGCTTTATCCCTTCCGCTATAACTGTGAGACAGGGACGCGGCTCCGCACTGCCTTGTACTACTAACTTGTAGTTCCGGATCTCCGCTGTCGTGCCATATTGCTTCTGGCCTGGATGAAGCACGCCGAATAACTGATAATCATAAAAATATTAGATATTTCTACGGCTATGGTTCTTGCAAACATCATTAATCCATATAGAGTTAAACGTACATACGAAAGAGCCACCTTTTAAACTGAGTGCAACAGCTAAAAATAATGAGCCGCACAGTATTGTATATGACAATATTAAAATCCAATGCCATATTCTAAATTAATGCGATTTTATGCTTGTCGATGGAGTTCGCATAACAATATTAGTATTGTCAACAACAGCTAGTCAAAAATAGTAGTACTTGAGACAGAAGCTTGAAGAACAATAATACCTGCTTTCTTTTGATAACGTTGCTTAATAATTTAATTTTTCCCGGATGGTAGAATTTCAGAGGGAGAGTTTCGCCAGGAATAAGCATTGGGAGCTCTTGAAATACTAACATTGACTGTATGCTTCCATCTTCCGTAAACGTCCTGAAGAAGAAGATAAACAGAACGCCTCTTATAATTGTACGGGTTATATGATGCAGTTATTTCAATTCGCATATCGACCAAATAGCAATATTATGTTTTTTTTCTATGTTCTATTTTCTATTAACCTGCCAGTTAACGTCTCAAGATCTCGTCCGAGGTAGGTATGTTCCGTTGTTAGATCATTATCATATTCTTCGGCCTGAATTTCCTCTTCAGCTGGTTCGGCATCCGAGGCTTCGGGAACCATCTCCTCATCGCTCATGTTTGAGGCGTTCAAACCAATCCAAAGCCAACAAAAAACAGAGTTCGTGTCGTGCCTTGGATGAACTATAAAATTTACAAAACAGTTCAGCAGTTTGTTTTTATTAAATAAATCATTATCATCTAAAGGAAGTATGCAACGCCTGTATTGAGCTCCGTGATATCGCTGTACACTTTGAGAACAATGATGGATGAATATGATGTAACTTTGCTTATCGCAACGAATCTATTATTTAGCGTCTCCCAGAGAGTATAAATCTTCAAACAAATACGATTATTTTACAGTGTTGACATTTTCTCTTCTTAGTCAATTTTATTTTAGGCTATTGTTAATAGATTCTAACCTTTATATTGGTTGTAATTAAAAAAAAATGTTGGATTTTCTCGATGAAAACCTTTTCTGATCGGGCGAAATACAACACATTACTCTGTATAGCTTTAGAGAACAAGATTAAGCAGGCAATTTCGTCAGTTGCTGCCGAGTTTAGATCACGAGGGCGGCTGCGTCGCAGCGGTGTCTTTCTTGGTAGTCGATAGAAGCGTTATAATACTAGGTCTTTATGTGAAGACCAAAATCAGTAACTTTATGAAAACACTACGTAAAATGGTAGATTTGTTCAATAGCTAGGGAAAATTGTTTTAGAATCAAAAGAATCTAAGTTAAGATCAAGATTATCGAAAGTGGATGAACTCGTCGCACTTTTTGTAACCTTCACTAATACTTGATGCCAACTTGCGCATAATATTATCCTGTATATATTATAGTTCTATTAAATGCTTTATCGCTATAACCACCTAATAAGGGACACTCTAAAAATTCTCAATTAGAATCTATATCACATATCATACTGAAATAAAATCCTATTAGCATAATCTTTATTTCTTTTATGTTGCCGTGTATATGTATATTTTGAAATTGCAATATGTAGATATCTATGCTACCTATTTATACTTATGACAAAAAACTGATGTTCTTCATTCATTATTTATGATCCTTCCTCTCTGAAACGTTCAGTCTGCATGCTAAAGGAGACAACGAGGTTTTCTGGTTCGAAACTCTCTCTACCTACGAGACTTGTCACATCTGAAATAGTTCTAACGCACAGTTTTTGCACAACACAGTTACTTTAAGTTATCCTCACAATTAGTTCATGGACAGTTCGACTAATATACGCGTTGTCCTTGCTCAAGTGCAGCCTCTCCCGCGATTCACAACAAAAGTAAAGCTTGCAATACTTACACTCTAAATATTGTCTCCTCCAGCTATACGACGTTTTTATTTATGTCATCCTGAATGGATGAATGTTTATTTACACCCAGTTTTGCAGCGGGCGGTTCCGTAAATTGCTTACTACATGACCGTCGATGCTTGCACCTTTGGCTTATAACAATAGTTCTGTTCCCAACACATATATATCATCGGTTTACACTAGTTGTAGCTCAGCCTTCCTAAAATAACCTTATATTTTGAATTATGCAAAACCTAGAGTGAAAATGATAAACTGAGAATACTTTGCTGTCTGAATGCCCAACATGTCTCTCCGCATAACTTCCAAGCTGTATAAATACACATACATACTTTTCAGTTACGTTGTGGTTAATACTCAGATCAGAGGGTTTAAGAATTATACGCATTAAATACCCGCATTAAAAGGCTTTAAATCATGCTCATAAATTCTAACTGATACTAATACACGAGGAAATCATAAGTGTGTCAAAACCAAATATACTAGGTTAAGTATATTTAGTTTCAATACAGTCATGATTTCTTTTTAGCAAGTATTTTGTACGTCAAAGTAACTATCTGAAGAGGATTTGAATGAAATAGCTGTATTCGGGTTTGACTTCAAAAATAAAGATATTTTCAACATGTTGCAAAAATTGTATGGTTGTGGTTCTTTGCTACTATGCTCCTAAGTTTTACACGCTAATTTTAACAACTGTCGGATGAGCCCTCTCATTTATAAAATTGACGTTCAACCACGTGGAACATAGATATTGAACATTTTATAAAATAATTTTCTAATTAAGCGGCGTTCGTTTCTATTTGCTAAATTCATAACAAAAATCTGATTTACATGTACGTGAATTTCTAGGGTATCTATAATTGGTCATCATCGTAGGACTATCTATTTTAACGCTACAGGGAACTTCATATCTCCAACGAATACTTAGCAGTTATCCCTGGCTCTAAGTAGAAGAATTATTAAAAAGTAATCTATATAATAAAAATTACCTATTATTCCGTCAAAGTTTTTTTCAAAATTAAATTGTTCTAGTGTACACGCATGCACTGAATATGCTAAATGATGCATGTTAGATGTAATAACCAATCAGTTACTGAAAACAACAATCCTCATATATAGTAATAAGCTGTTGCAGGTAAATCCGACAGACTTCGAAATTGAATAGTTCTTGAACTACGCGCCGCCAGCAGACACATTTTACTGATAAATACTTCGCCATTCTAGAAACTTGTGAGATTTACTCAAAGATAAATTAGTCCAAAACAAAGACATATTTCAGACTGAAAAATTAACGCTTAGTTGTGAAGTTTTTGTTCCCCGAAAGCTGCAGTACATGATTTCATTAAGGTTTGGTGAACACTCCAAATAATAAGGTTTTAAATGAAAGCGCACTATTTAAATGACGCAAACGTTTTGAGAGTAGCTATCGAAGCGCTGAGAGACAGTGAAGAGGTGACCGAATATCGGGATCCGAAGAACAAGAACAAAAACAAAATCGAGAATGCTTCCCACGAGAGCAGGGCTTCTAATATAAGGGCCTTGTCGGTCAAGACTGGAATTTCAAATATAATGTGTCGTAGAATTATAATCCAAATACTGAAAATGCAGAAACTGAGTAAAGACTTCACCCTCGTGAATTGATCCTAGACAAATTGGAACTACGTGTGGTGCACTAGGCCGGATTCCCTTGTAATAGGCTAAAATTTATTACATATTAAAATTATAAGCGTAGATTTCTATGTTCTTACTTTAGAATCCGCGTGTCTGGTACGCGATTTATTTCAATTTACCAACAGCAAAACGTATTCGAATTCTGCCAAAATAGATTAGAATAGACGATGGAATCAAAGGTCCCCCAGCACCGTGTTCAGATGGTCGCAGCTTACAGTGAGATAAATAAATTTGGATGACATCAAATCATTTCACTGATGTATAATGACAGACCGCCGCATGAACTCTAGCCAGAATCGGTTCGGCGATGATGTCTAATAGCCGCTGGGAAAGCTAGAATCAGCTGAGTATGAAGATGTGCTGTGCTTGCACTCCATTCCGTTATTAGGTGTAAATCCAACGGGTACGACACTTTGAACGTGAATAACATTCTGTTTTCATAGTCCTGTTAGACGGTGTCTCGAATCATGAATGGAACTTACAATCGATTTTCCTTTCCTACAATCGGATCAGAACATGCCACACAGAAGGCGCTTACGACGACCAACAAAAACTAGCGACTCCATATGGCTTCGAAGATCATCAGTGTCGGTGGGTCACTTCTATTCGAAGACCTGGCCACCCTTTCCACCAGATTTTAGCTCGGTATCCCAGAGGAGTCGCCACGAAGACATTCACAGGTGATGGTGCCACTAAAGCTCGCTGTTGCACAGAAGTGGTCGAACACGGCTACAACAAGTAGATACCTCCCAGAAGTAACCAGTGTACCTAGATAGTATTTAACAGGGACCTTTTAAATAATCCAAATGAATTAGCGTACAGGTGGAGTGAAGTGTGTTCAATCAGTATTAGTGAATATCGTATACCGGTGTTGTTCTTCTGTACCTTCGAAATGTATTAAGTAAATGTGAACATCATAGTTCGAAAAGTGAGCTAAAACTGATAGCTAACGATAATCAAAATGGATATGAAAGTACGTAAGGCAGCTCCTGTCAATAAGGAAAACAAATGTCAAGATAAAAAAGACGATGGTGATCTAACAAAAGAAACGAATGTGAGTGACAGCATAAATAAGAATAAAGCAAGAATGTTTATCGTTAAACAAAGCAACATTGCCATGTTTCCTTTTCTATAACGTCCGGCCTCCATGTATAGTTTGTCGTAAATTCTGTATCACAGTTCAGAATAAACTGGAAATTAGCGTGGGTGTGTAAAAAGTACAATACACCGAATATCTAAAATAAAAAAATATCGCCCGATCGGCGAAAACGGTACACACTGTGCTGTAGGCCTTTGTTATCAGATAAGTCTCACAGCAAATTAATAAAATGCGTATATTTCTGTGGTGATTGATGACTTTACCGTATATTTAATTATTATTATTATTTCAATAGTTCTCAGAAAGCTTTGAATCCTTTTTGAGAAATTATCGTTGGATAACGTTTAAAAGCAGCTACGAAATAACAAAGAGCTATTGAGCCGTCTAATGTCATTCAACTTAATCAGATACTCGTACGTTGAGCGTAACACATTGATAATTATCAATGTATCTCTTCTCAATAAAATCAAAGCATACAATCGAAACTCTCGCTCAATGACCAACAATACATTTCACTCGGTGAATACTATGAATTTACAGGTAGTAAAAGATGGGTGTTACCGAAAGGATGCTTTGCAAAATGATGTTGAAAAGCAGACTTCAAAGTGCGATGGATTGTTCTTCAGATCTCAAAGCGGCCTTTTCGAGATTCAGATCACTCTTGACGGACCGTTGATCGGGTTCTTCCTTATCGCTCTTGCTACTCGCTTATACAGACTCGAATACCCAAGAGCTGTTGTGTAAGTATTTTGTTGTTCTCCATTCAGTTGTCGGGCCTTATAAACTGCTCGAAACCGGCGACACAGAATTAGTTAAATGAATGTCTCTCTTGTTCTGTCAGTAAATAGATTATTACTATGACCGCTTTAAGTTCGGCGATTTAGTACACCCCAGATACTTCCGACAAAGCCAGACTGGAGTCTTGCATTGTACGAAAGGTGATCTTAAAAGCTTTGTAAAGCCGCATACGTATGATACGTATGCGGGTTTATAAACGTACCTAGGCTAAAGTGTATCCTTATTTCAAAAAATGTTACAGTGATCACAATTGTCTCAAACACACGGACCACACTTGCGGTAGCTTAACACAGTTAATCAGACATGGCAAGCATTTGCATCTGATTCAAAGTTAACGTCCAGTGTTTTATTGTAATTCATGTAAAACTTGTACTTCAAAATATCGGCTAATGTAATTAGCAGATTTATTTATTGTCTTTTTTTCAGTTTTGATGAACTTCATTTTGTTAAATATGCATCTCTTTACGCTTCAAACACTTTCTTCTTTGATGCTCAACCGCCTCTTGGTAAGCAAATTATCTCTACAGTTGCCTACTTTGTTGGCTATCGGCAAAAGGGATCCCAACAGGGTCTGGAACGCATCGGAGGAGACTACCCGCCTGAGGTATGCGATATTATGAATTCGGAGCATTAGTGCATAATTTAGCCTTATGCACACTGCTTTAAGACCTAAATTCACCTAAATTCTAAAGACAGGTTCAAAATTAAGCTGAAGCTGAAACAATGAAATTCAACTGAGTGTTTTCTTTGCCTGTACTGCTATGCCGTTTAATAGATATTTTTTGATACACCATACAATAGTAGTAATTTCCATACAATCCGCTAACTGGGACTTCTAATGTTTTCGTCATAGGTACCTATATTCGGATTGCGACTTGTTCCAGCCATTTTCGGAAGTCTCCTCGTGCCACTGTCCTATCGAATCTGCCTTCTTCTCGGACTCTCAAAAGCAACTGGAACATTCGCTGGGCTGCTACTTCTTGCAGATACAGCCTTGCTGACACAAAGCCGATTCGTACTAATGGAAACAATTCTGATGTTTTTCTCTATGCTGGGTCTTTTCTGTGTACTTAAGTTCCGTAGGCTGCCTCGACGCAAATGGTTTGGCCCTAGCTGGTGGGGTTATCTTGCTGTAGGTGCGGGATCATTCGCATGTGCCATGTGCGTCAAGTACGTCGGCGGGTTGTCCCTTGTGTTAGGCGCATACATCTTAATTCGCAATCTGTGGGACATGTTACCAGACAAGTCATTATCAGATCGTCTTCTGATGCTGCATGCTCTGTTAAGGATTACGGTGTTCACTCTTGTTCCGCTCGCCATTTACCTATCGGTATTTTATATACACTTGAGCATTTTGACTAAAGCGGGCCCTCACGACACCATCATGACAAGTGGATTTCAGGCGAGTTTAGAGGGCGGGCTGGCGAGCATCACTAAAGGGCAGCCGAACTATATAGCTCATGGATCGCAAATCACTCTTAGGCACTCTCTCGGAAGGACGTGCTGGCTGCATTCTCATAATGAACTGTATCCACTTCGGTAAGCTGGATAACTTGAAAGAAAAAACACAGTACTGATATAGTTAATGGTTATATACGGAGATTAGACTAAGAAGAAATGGAGTAAAGATAGAACAAGATAGTTATCTGACGAAACGACCAAACCTAATTATCACGACATCTCGTTTTGGATATATCGATGTTAACGTTTAGGGATGCTGCTGTTCAGTACCCTCTTAACGTCAGGCATTTTTGGTTTCTGTATGCTGTTGGAGTGAATCTTCAGATATCCGGATGGACGAGGTTCATCACATCAGCAGCAGGTGACGTGTTATTCATACAAAGACGTGAACAACTGGTGGATTGTGAAGCGGCCAGACATTGCCGACCTTGTTGTAGCGGAGCCTATCGACCGCATCCGGCATGGTGACATCATACAGTTCGCTCATGGCATCACGATGCGGCTACTGAATTCACATGACGTTGCATCCCCAATGAGTCCAGCTTTTCAGGAAGTGTCCTGTTTCATTGACTATAACATAACACGATTTCCGCCACACACCAACTGGAAGGTCGTAAGTGTTCGAAAAAGAGAGCATTTGCCATGTCCTACACGGGTATCTATGTGAACTTTCTCTGTATTTAGTTGAAATAGTAATTAGTAGTTAGTAGTTTAGTTGAAGTAGTGTTGAAAGGAAGCTGGCTGTTAAGTATTACCCTATTTTTTGTCGACCTTCCAATAAAGTAGGTAGGCTATATTCATTTAGCCGTAAATGCGCTAAGTCATTAGTTCCATCTGGGACTGTTCAATTATTTTTATGTTTGACATTGTATGGCTTGTATGCGAATAATTTAGTAGTAACTCGCTATGTGCGTCAACAATTTTGCTATATGCGTGTTATTTCTTTGCCAATTTTTAGGAAATTCTAAACAGGGATAGAATGGGTGACTACTGGCTAACAATACATTCGCAAGTTCGGCTAGTTCACGTTGATTCTGGACAAGCTCTTAAATTTTCGGGTAAACAGTTACCTGAATGGGGCTTTAATCAGCACGAGGTCGTCACCGATCGCTCGATCGAACAAGATGACACTATCTGGAATGTCGAGGAGCATAGGTAAGCCAGTAGGAAAACTAAACAACAAAAATATGGTCAAATACAAATTCTGTTTTGAATGAACATGATTAAATCTAGATCGAAAACAGGGAACGATAGGATCGTCCTTTTGTTTGAAAATATGCCGCTTTAAAATGAAACGTTAGCATTTTGTACACGCATCTATTAAATATGTTTATGAGCGCCAAATCAATTTACGTAATAGGCCAGAATATACACTCTGTTCCTTCGTCTGAGTGAGATTAAATGATATCTTCACGATAGTATCCGGCGTAACTATGTGCCTGCCTACTAAATTTCAGGATGCGATAATATTAGCCTCAAATCTGGAAAGAAACACTTCCCTTTTGTGGCCAACCTGCCAGTTGTTCTGTTAACACAGCTGCAGAAGTAGAGTTTGAAATATTTGTCATAGTTCAACTGAACTTACATTATGAGCCAAATATGAAACTATTTAAATCTTTATAATATTTGACTTCATGTAATTTTTAGATACACAAAAAAGAAAGACGAGAAAGAAAGGGAGCTGGATCTTGTTACCGCTGAATTTGTGCCGTTGGAGCCAACTAAGCTAACCTTCTGGCAGAAGTTTATTGAACTTCAGTATAAGATGCTCGTTGCTGATAATGTAAGTTAATTATGTAGTATCAACTACAAGATAGGTTGACTATGTAGACCAAATATATCTGAATGGTACTATCATATTTGCTCCATTCATTTCATAAATGTATCAACCTCGTTTCATATTGAAATTTGGAATTTAAAATATGGCATCATATTTTTAATGTATCAAAATACGAACGTTTCACTATCGATGTTTTTAGTTGCATGTTTATTGACATAATGTTTTATTGACTCGATTTAATTAAATCGCTAGGAAAATGTTGAGGATCATATATTTGCGTCTACTCCATTAGAGTGGCCGCTGCTTCTTCGAGGGGTTGCCTACTGGGTGAGCGGGGAATCGAACGCGCAGATTTTCCTTTTAGGAAATCCAATTCTCTGGTGGACCGGTTCCCTTGCTGTTCCTTTATATCTTGGCCTTCTTGCCGGATGCCTTCTCCGTAGGCGAAGACTGTGCTATGATATACCGGAAGGTGTGTTACCCTACTGTGAAAAATTCTGAGGCGTAGGTTTATATAAAGGCTGACTCAGTTAAAATAAAGACTTTAAATATTAGCTACATTAAATTTATGTATATTGTAGAATAAAACTATCAGTTTGCTATTATTATCAGATGTTATAAAGTCATCGATTACGAGAACGGGTAATAATGTCTCGTTCTCAAATCCGTTGCCATATTTCAGATATGTTTCGTGCCGTTCTATTGTGCGCTGAAGTCCTTGTTGGAGGCTACTTGATTAATTTCATTCCATATTTTTTTTGCGATCGTTCGTTGTTCCTCCATCACTATCTGCCAGCTGCCATATTCAAGCCGATGCTCATTGCAGCTCTCGTGCAGTTTACCGACCAGCTAATTAGGTAAGGACCAGTTACTCACAACTCAACCGTTCATACGCAGTTAGTTTCAGGAGGACTCATTTTACGTATTCCACTGTAAGACATACAAATCTAACTTTTCCAGATAATGGTATTGAAATTACCACGATTAACTTAATCTATTGTGAAATAAATCTAGGGCTTTCAATTCACAAAGCCTATACATGGATTGCTTTTCTGATTAGACACATTCTATAGGCTACCTAAAAACAATTTGCTTGGTTATATATTTCGTTTTAGATCATTACAGCAAATCTGTAGAAGTACATATATTCCATTACATTTTCTCGAAATAAAATCTTAAGGACGACGGAACGTTTATCTACTCCAAGGTACCTTATTCTCTCATAACTAATGTTAACAGTAACGAGAGTGCACTGAACGGATGCTGTTAGTGTGTTGTGTTTGTACTCGTCACTAACATTGTTTTGCTTTTGCAGTACCTTTCTTAGCGGCACGCGTCATGCTTGGGTCTCACGAGCGTTTTACGTAGGGGTTTTCTCCTGGCTTTTATTAGTTTTGTGGACAGCTTTCCATTACGTGACATTCGCTTATGGCACGTATTCATTAAGTCCGCAGGACATCGAACGGTTGCGGTGGCTTGATTCGTGGCAATTCATCGTTCATCGCAGATAATCTGGAGTCTTGAAGCGTCTATGTTACAGGCTGACATGTCAATCATGACACAATGTGCTTTTAGCCCAATAGCTGTCGAAGTGCCTAGTAGTGTTTGGGATTTTATTGGTATTAAAAATTATCAAAGACTAGGTTATTAAAATTCAGCTAACCCAAACGGAAACCTGTCGCAGTAGTATGACAACAAAGTTGTATAAGGGACTAAGCGAATAGTAAATCTATGGATATATTATGTAAAAAAATTAGGTAACTCATCGTACCTCTTGCCATAAACGGAGTAGCTTACCGCGCCAAGCTCAACTCATTAGGTCTTAGAGAATAGTACTCAAACTGGCTAATGGTTCATTACATATGCTTGAGTAAACGTATGGTAGGTTATTTTTTGTTGTGACAGTTTTACCTAGTAGCTAGACACACACATACAAATCTAGTGATTTATTCATTCGAACACTGTAAATATATAACCATAATAGTTAGAATAAAAAAGTAAGTACATATAAATCTGCAATATTTACACAAATTAGCGGTACTTTTTCAAATATTTTACTAAATACAACTATGTAATGCTATTAAGTGTATAATTTCTGGAAAATATCCTAATATGCAAAAAATTACATCCTAAATTACATAAAAAGCATACGTTATAGTGGCTTGTGCGTTCTATTTTTTAGGTAGTCAGTGATGAACACTCCACCAGCTACTTTATAGAAGCTAATGTAGAAGTTGTATTCGGTATGGAATATCTACTCTTTCCGTAAACTTTGCTGCCGGTGAATCTTGACCATATGATTAAGCTATCGGTCATTAATATTTCGAGACGCCAGCTTATTATGAAGGCACGCAATACTTAATGCATAGAAGAACAACAGAGTCCAAAGACAAAAGGCAACATAAAGTAAGTGATGACGTAGTGTGTATCCTTATAAATTGACTAGATTAATTTGAATTATTATACATTCACTCCTTATCTATTTATTGAGGGTGTGCTCATTCCAATTCTTCTTCGAGCCAAACCGTAGCTTTGGTCTTTCTGGTTGCAATAATGATATGTTCATAAATATATAATAATAGTTCATTATGTTAATGAATACACAAGACTGCTGCGTATATGTTATATCTTTTACGTGTTCATCTATGAACTAAATTACTGAATAGAGACCAACCGCTGTAGTCTACAAAAAATGTACAGTTATCATACGGCCTTGCTTAGCAGTACTTTTGGTTTCGTTAAACACAATCAAGACCTGAACGAGACAGCTTTCGGCAGTTGCAAAGATTAAAAAACTGCCTGTCTCAAGAGTGGCCTCGTATAACTTTTTCCTTGTTTTCGTTAACCTCGCGCTATATTCTTCAGCTAGCGATTATGCAGCTATCACTAATCACCATTCAACAACTAGCTGATGATTACCCATCCTCGTAAAAACAGAAAATGTGCTCACGTTTGCGTTCTTCACAAAGTGAATCCATCTAGCTGTATAACTGTGTGTTGCTATATATATATCTATATAGTGTATGTAGTTGGCTGCAATATGTATTTCATTAGAACAGCAATAAAGATTGGCCTATTCTAAAAGCAATGTTTTCCAACACTGAGGCGACATTGCCTCTCTTACGTGACCTTATCAAAGTAGAGAGTTCTTCCGACGTCATCTGCTGTTCTGCCATTCTTTACAGCTGTCATTAACGGAGTCCCATCATACTCTTTTCCCGGTGTTTCTGGTACTGTAGATGTATCTAAAGGAGTAAAATGTGCTTCATGCCATTCGAAAGTTTCGCGATGGAGTAGTACCTGCTGCCCAATGAGTCGCGAATTGGATCCGGTGGGCGTTACCGAAGAAGACGTCGGACTGAGAGTTGGGGTCAATGGCTTATCGTTATCACTATTTAGACTCGTTCGTGTTCTAAGCGGCACTTGGTCAAGGAAACTAAAATCACAGGGCAGTTGAACACTTGCCGGTGAATCTGCTCCATCAGCCGGACAACCGGTCAAAGGCCGGGGCTTCTTACGTGGGGAACGACGCTGTGGTGTATTAACTAGTTCTATAATTTCAGTCTCTAATTGCCTTCCTCTGTTATTCTTATAGAGCTCTTGTTCGGTATTATATTGTGAGTTCGTCTCCTCTGACTCTTGAACCAGATACCGTGGAATGGCCAAAAAAAGTTGCATTTCATTTACTTTTTTTGGGTTACGAGGGTCTTCTGTCTCATCTGTCATTCTCGACGGAATTTTGCATGGATGGCCTCGTAGTATTGACTGTGCCTTCGGAGATTCACTACTGGTGGGGCTAATATGCGAGAAATTGGGGTTCTTCATGACTAATCCCTCACTATGGTCTGGAATTAATTTTCGTGGACTTCTTCTAGCTGTTGGTGTTGTACAACCGGCAACGCCTTTTTCGTTTTCTGAGGACCGTGAAAGTTTATGGGTTGGCGATTTTTTTTCCAGTGGAGCTCTGGGGATAGTGGAGGAACCTTTTCTTGTTTTAGGTTCTCGGGAAGGCTTCTGTGCAGATAGATTAAGATTACCCACGTCACGAGATTTGTGACAGTCCACTTCTTGTGAAACTTTGTTCTTATGAGGGCTTTTCTGTTTGTTGCAAAGCTTGGTACTAGGACTAGAATGTCTTTGAAAGGACCTGCTTCTTACCCGTCGTTCCTCTGCTTTTGATTTCGATTCTAGCGAAGTTGCACGGCGTCGGGTGGATGCATTTGTCGTACGCGCAGACTTCCTTGGAGATCTGCATAACTCTTGAACTTTTTGCAATAAACTTTCGCTTTCTGATTCAGAAATTTCGCCATCTTCTTTTAACTGCTCGTATTCAGGACTTTGGTTTTGAGAAACACGCGTTTTCACATGAAACTCCACTGAAGATTCTTCGTAAACAGATGGTTTTTTAGAGTCATCTTCTTTGGTTGCGTTTGCACGGGCCTCGGTCTTTGGGGAAGTGCGACGATTCTTCATTTGGGGACTCACCGTTCTCCTGAAGTGTCGTTCCGACCTAGACAACGATCGACCATCACTGATTTTCGCTTCATCTTTTTCAGTTTTGGTTGAAACAAGCCTGCATATACGCTCACGTGTTTTTCGCTCGTTCGTCCGCTGTCTTTTGGAATTTTCTGTCTCCTGCTCTACTTTTCGTTTTCGATTCGAATCTCCTGTATCGCCATGTTTACCATTTCTCCTATAGGATATTTCTTGACTTAGCCTTTCTTCTCTTCGATTAACCACAGCTTTTTGTTCCCTTTGATTCTTTCCATAACTATCCCTCTGAGGGTGTTTATCGCGCTCACGTCGGTCTCTGCTGTCCCTCCGTGGGGGCCTGTCGGAATGTGATGTACTTCGTCTATGGCTATCTTTTCGTTTATCGTTTTTACTATTGTAGCATCTTTCATTGTTTTCTTTACACAGTCGAGACTCTTCAAACTCAGATGATTTTTTCCGTTCGCTTCCTTGACCTGTGGATTCCTGACTCTTACTGGAGCTTTCCGAAACCGCTCTTTGGGAATGCTTTGGTAGATAATTTCGAAGTGTATCAAGCTCCTCGCGCATACTCTGCCTACTGTCTACAAAAACAAATGGGGTTACTTTCTGGGAATGATCTGGCTGTCGTGGCACTTGTGGAGCTGAATGAGGCTCATAATTACCCGGCATTTGAGGAACTATCGAAGGCAATGGCTTGGCACAATCCTGCGCTAGCTTCCTTCGAAAGCACAAGGCATCGTACCTGCAAATGGAACGACCAAAGAGTTACCCGACGTTAGCTCTTACTATTACTGTAAAATAATTATTTGAGAGAATAAAACGTTTTGATTTCTATTGAAGTACATTCTAAAGTGAAACTGAAGTGTAATAAACAACAAATTAGCACAGCAACTAACTTGCTCTTTAATTTGCTCAGCTCCTTGTCCTTCAGGGTAATAATGTGATGCGACGATTTGTACAGGAGAGCGAGGTTTATCTCCAACTGGTGGTTCGCTTTTTTCAGTAGTCCGATCTCATGTTTGAGCTATAAATAATAAGTGAAATTATATGTTTTAGATTAATAACCTTAGATTAATAACCTGCGTTAAACCTTGGCGAATATCTCCACTACATGTGAATACACGACATGCATGGCAGCAATAAAACTATATATCAAACATAAAATAAAGCATATAAAATCCATTCATAGTAGTTACAAACCTTTTCTACTTGTATATGGTTAACCCTTGTTGGTGGTGGCCTGTTCCTATCCGGATTTCTCATTTTATTTTTGGCTGTTTCCTTGAACTTATTTGTGAGTCCTTCGTCCATAAGGTCCATTGAATCGAGGCCATCATCTTCATCCTTTTGCCTACTCTTTTTTGGGGAAGATTTTGAGGCAAGCTTCTCTTGCACCGTGGTATGGTCACTTCCATCATTGCCAGCTAAAGATGTTAGGTGAATTCTCTCTGGTTGGCTTTCAGACTCTTTTTTGCCTTGCTTTTTCTTGTTGTTTGACGACGCTGAAGTCGATGAAGACGACGTCGACAATGAAGACGATGATGATGAACTGGACGATACCTCGAGATCACCATAGATATCATCCTCCATTGTCTCCTACAACTCCTTTATTATTACTGGAAAAAAAAGCGGCGCATACTGGAAACGAAAACAAACGTATAGAGCTTGTGTCAAAATAAAAGAATTTCTACAATATTCAAGGTCGATTATTATTGCTTAGCTGAGTCTTGTAGGTTCATTGATATTTGGAAGCATAAATTAATGAACACGAAAAAAATATAAGCAAAGCAAATGTTATATCATCATGATACTCATAAAATGTTCAGTGAATGCTTTAAGAACCTAAAAAGAATGTAAACTCTAACAGCGAAATGGTGCATCTGTTGGAATTGCTCATCTTGTATCGTGTTAAAGTTAGGCGTGCTGACAAACATAATTGTTTACAGATCAACTGAATTATAAATTATACCAATTAGAAATGCTTTCACCTTTACATTTCGTTCTTGTTTTTCACAAACAATGAATCCAGCATGGTATTAAACAATTCGCCCGTTTACCACGAATAAGTTGGACATATGTCAATTTTATCCAATAACAAAAAATTATGATTGATTTTGTAAGAATTTGTCCAATAATTTTCATACTCCTAGTTAGCGCAGCTGCTTAGCGCGCGAACTTTTAAAAGCGTGTTTAAAAGCAAAGAGTCGATGGTTCGGGTCTTCCTTAGGAGACGTGTTACACGATTTGTTGTTTATTAATGTGTCTAAGTTTTACATTTTTTCGAATCATTCTATTCAATTTTTGGGATGTTGTTTTGATGCGTTTACGAGGCTAACCGAGATTTGGAACTACAATATTTTTGGCAATTGTTTCATGAGTTTATTTATGAGTTCCATGTAAAGTGAGGTCGAACTCTGCTTTTGTTTTGTGTACGCAAGTTGCAGTAACGTTTTTCAGAGTTCGTGCCATTTTGACATAAAATGCTTTATTACGCATTTTATGTTTTATCGATGTCCAGCCACTAGAGCAACTGTAATTCGTTCTCCAGATAGCATATAATATTCTTGTTTGAGCTTGTCTCTTCGTAGTAAGCGAGCCGCTAGTCTTACCTAACTACCTGCTTACCTCTTAACAAATCCCGTCTGTGATTAGCTTAATTATCCTTTATTGAAGTAACCACATAATCCTCTATTTCAGTTTTATCGTATTACAATAAGCGATTACTTTTCCTTTTACCCGTCGAACTCGTACAAGAGCTAAATAGATAGTTCCTGTGCTGATTGTAAAAACCACAAGTGCTATTCCACCGTGTTCTGTTTCAGCGACAATGGAAATATCAGCTGCTGCAGACTCCATACACCGTGTCAATATGAAAACACGAAGAAATACGGGAACGATGCTAGGGTAATTTTTTTTGAAGGCCTCGATCTCGGTTTTGACCGTCAGCTTTAGACGAAGTAGGTTTGAGTCTATAACGTCTCTGTGATGACGAAAAGACCTAAAATTAAATCTCACCGTTGCTAAATGCTCCACTAACAAAAACGTTTCCTCTGCATCAACCAGTACGTAATCTAAACAAAAGTCCACAAAAGAACTTTCTACTTTGAAGACACTAAGATCAAGTGCAAGACCACCATAAAATCAAACTTCGCCACTTTTCTTTGTGATTGGACGATTGGACTACGTCTAATAGAACTAAGCCACGAACATCTATTACTGCGTAGTTCACCTCATTGCTTTCTAGCAAGTTCCATCACTTCACTCCGGCAAAAATTTACGCGCCTCTTGTAGGCGCGAGAAATCAGCAAAACACCAACAAACGAATGAATGAATGAATGAATTCATGTATTCAGGAATGTACTCATAATAGAACAACGAACCAATGACAGTCCTCATTCTACATTAAGTTTCAGTTCATGATGAAGCTGAGGCCCAATTAAAATAAAAAATACGTCAGGATAGAGTAGACGCTTTTTCACCAGCCTAACTGTCTACGGAGGATCGTTGTCAAAAATGAACTGCGATTGCTTGTTAATTATGGCAAAAACGAGTTATATACCATGTTTTACTATACTACAATTAGTATATTTTCTCGGTTTTTAATTTTTTCCCGAAGTTAATTTAAAACAAAAACGTTAAAACAAAGATATGGGACTATTTAGAAGACAAAGTAAAATAAACATAATTATTGTACGATCTTGCATTACCATATATTTCCAGCAAGACGATCGAGTATTTCCTTAAAATTCGTTTGTTTTATACAAAGCATACACTATAACTAAGTATTGGAATAAGATCAACGTGTTTTAAATTTTTGAGTGCTAAATGTTAGAACGCAATTTTAGATTACTGTAATTCTTATTGCAAAGTTTTTTTGATCCACTTTTTTTAATCCATTTGTTTGTAAAACCTGTTTGTAAAATGTATATATATATATATACACGTTTCCTGTCTGAATATACTGTTCTTTCAGGCGATGAACATTTTTTGTGAACTTGGATAACACTACCTACAGCAGGTAGGAATTTAACTTCTGCGTTCAACATGCTAAAAAGTGTCTTCAGCAAGAAACCGTACAGATATATATATATATATATATATATATATATATATCGTGGATACGAACTATTGGTCTCTGCCAGCTAACGATAAACCTAAGCCAGAATGTTTTCTTTATGTAGCAAGGTAGCTTAGCTGACAATAAACCTAAACTGCGGGGAGTTGTGCTGCAAACAACTGGATGGTTGGAAGTTCTTCTCGATAGTCTGTGGATTAGGAGGAACTAAGCCTGGAGAAATTTTTTTAGAAAAGTTGAGCGTTTCTTAAATAAGCTATGTTCTTGGGTAGCAAATTAAAGTCTGTCACTCTACTGAGTTAATCCTATATGTCGGAGGAGGTTAGCACGTGTGCCGGGGTGCTCCGAGCAAATTACATTTCGTGAGCACCATCTGGCTCGGATTTTGTGTAATCTTGCCCACTGAATCATCATCACCGTCTCTAAAACAGTGCATCTACAAATAAGCCATCTGTGGGTACAAGCGAAAGATGTAATGGAAAAAATACAGTTACGAGTGGGTTAAGTAGACGGTTTCTTGCTGAAGGCACTCTTTAGCGTGTTGAACGAAGAAATTAAATTCCTATCTGCTGTAGGTAGTGCTATCCAAGTTCACAAAAAATGTTCATCGCCTGAAAGAACAGTATATTTAGACAGGAATTTGGTCCCGACACGTGGTAGTTACGTGTATACTATGTGACTGAAATAGCTCGCGGCAGAGAGCCGTAGACATCATTTTGTGTTGCATCGCCGCTTAAACCGAAAATGGAAGTATGAACGCAATCCAGTAAAAAGAACAGCCGAGTACTACTATAAAAATGTACGGCAGGCATTTCGTATGGGCCCGCTGCCGCGGACTAGTGCAAGCCGTAGTTGATCGCATCGAGCGGGGGAAATTGTCTCTGTTCGTTGGAAACAGTGGAACCGATACGAGCAGGAGATTGCGAGAGTTTAGACAGCGTGAAGATTATGAAGTCGATGCTCGAGCCGGGATGTGGCCGCGTTTTTTTATTGTTGAAGTAAATATATGAAAATACTTCTTTAAAAAGCGTAGTGACACTAAAGACATACGATAAAGGAACATACGGCACGATTTTTGGGTCTTAGTAGGCTCAGCAGAAAGTTGCTAAGGGCGGTAAAGAAGTATATGGTATGATGATCTTTGGACATCAACTCCATGACTTTGTAGCAGCTAGCGAATACGTACTTATAAACCATATTAATGTTTAAGGCTCCAAAATGACAATACACACGATCATGTCTAGCAGCGCGACAGACATGATAAGAAACTACGTTTAAGTTGAACACGCAAATTCCTTATGTTTTGTTTACCACTTAATTGTGGGAAATTTCGTAGCTCGGTGACTAGCCTATCACTTCACCCTCTCATGATAATGCAGTGAAAATAAAAGTCTTTTACATTGTCGCGTACGTCTGCATAAGCGAATAAGCTCGCTGCAATACTGGATGAGTTCAATTCGTGTAGTTTTTTCTTCTTGCGGATAAAGACCATTTCTGCCCGCCTTTCTCGCACTTATGTAGTGTTCGCGCAGCTGTCTGCTCCGTCAAACTGACAGACTACCGGTGTAAATAAACAGTATGGTCGTCGCTTATATGCCGATTATTTCGTACGCTAAAAATCGAAATCGATGTACAAAAAAGATAGCAAAATTGCAATGCAGTTCTGTGTAGTACTGTGCTTGTGTGACAATTTACTATATCTTCGTTTAGTCTGAGTATCATATATATCCTCACTTGATTTGAATGTGACGGCTTTGACAATGCTGTTCAGCCTAAATCCGTTTAAGACTTGGTATCAGTCTATTTCGCCGTTTTAATTGTGATAATGGTAGTTCAGTTCGAACGTCTGACCGCTGGCTGAGTTGTCCCTGAGTATTAGTTGGCGGCGAATCCGCGCACAGCCGCATGGTAACCGCCGACACCTGTCAAAATATAGAACGTCAGTTAACGCTGAATTTGAAGCTAACAGTTTCGCGTATGGAAATGTTCGACGACAAACATGTGCTACCGAAAGCAAAATTGAATAGGTCTACTACATCCAATGTCAAGTGCTTTTCAAGTATATCTCAATCTTTCCAAACATGTGCGTCTGTGGCGTGTACGCCAAGTGACAGATAACATTTCTTGCACTGTTCCTTCAGAATTTTCGTCACCAGAAGTCTATTTAAAAATGCCCAATCTAGTATGAATAAAATAAAGGTTACCTCACGAGCACCTGGTCACTAGCTGTGCTGTGGGTAGATGTAGATCATTAATATCGTAGACTCGGTGAAACGTATCCAAAACAACGTTGTTTGCGCGTGGTTAGAAAAAGGAAGGCAACTACTTAACCCATTTCCTACAACTTCCTTCTTTTGCCAAGGCTCAACTACGGTGCAGCACTTAGTTTTGTTCAGCTGACTTATCTGTTTGTTCAGCTATTAATTTGATCCAACGATATCTCGGAGCGTCACCACATCCAGTAGTCTATGATTACCTAGGGTAACACATGACCGTTGTGTGGATGTATCGGGTTAATTAAACGAAGGAAAACAGATAGCTATGGGTCAAGAAGCGGAGAAGTTACATAAACCAATTTTGAAGGACTCAGAGGGGACCCTGTTTACTTACTTTGCGACAGCTGCGCTTAACGTAATATATTTTGCACTCACAGTTCATCAAGCATTGAACTTTCTATTATATAAATTTGCGCATGTGATAAAGTTCCTGTTCTCTTCTGAAAATATCCGAAGCCTAAAGGTGAGCTGTTGGGGTCTCGTTTTTAAGCTACAAGTTATTCAGTTTTAACTAAAAGCTGTATCAGCTGACCTGCGGGATCGTAAAGATGTATAGTAAATATAAAAAATTAACCGTCGTTATTAATATTAAATATTGTTTTTTGGCTAATTTTGTAGAAACTATGCATGAATATACGTTTTCAAGTTCGTTGTATTATTGAACGGCACGAACATGAAATAAACAGTACTTATTTTACTCTGCTTGTTTTTTAAATATAGACTTCCAAGGATGCCATCGAGCAGTTTGTTTTTTAAATGTAGACTTTCAAGGATGCCATCCAGCAGTGATCATATAGTAGGACTTGCACTGTAATTATCCATTTGCTTCAACTCTGCATTTATTATATGGCAAACCTGAGTAGATAACAAAACAGAAAACACAGACTCTATAATAACTCGAATCAGATAGGCAAGCGTCCGCATCGACGACACAAACGTCTTACCTGTTTAGTCAATACCTAAGTCAACAAAAACTTTGTATCAAAACGGAACCTTTTCTATTATAACATTCATCGGCGATTTCCAACTGTTCAAGTTGTAAACAGCAACTTTTACAAAAATATCTCATTTCGTTAAAATGGTCATTTGAGATCAGAATGTGAAGGAAGGCACAGAATTATCTTTTTGTGCTCTTTTGGTGCAATATTTATACGCTCCATTTGAATAATTGTCTATTTCAGAGTCTTCCAAAAAAGCCTGCGCATTTAGCGCTAGTAGTGGCTGATCCTCCTGTGCGATTTGCCGATCTCGCTAAAGTTCTTGCTTGGTGTCACGAGACTGGAATATATTATGTCACTCTATATGATTTCGATGGTAGGTGGTTGAGGCCCGAAGAGAGCCCTCGGCAGTTTTTGTGTTTGTTTTGCATACTTACATGTCATATCAGCAGCCCTATATTTTGAATAAAATCCGGCAGAGGTCACATGCCTATACATATAATATTCAAACTATAGCTGTTCTAATATATTTTGGTCAGGCTCAATAGTCTTCAAAGTTGATTCAATACCTATTTTCAGTGTTAGATAGTATGATGTAAAGCACTAGATCTTTTAGTTTGAAGAGTTGGCTATGTATAAAAGATGTATTTGTCTAATTTCATTGACAATCACTTAAAAACAGCGGGTAGGCTCGCAGCTAATGGAACATTATGTGCCATACATTTGAAGATGTTTTGGAATGGATATGTCTTTCATCAACGATGTGCTACCAATAGCAGTGAAACCGCTTTTAAATCATATCATATTTAGTGTGATTGTTCGGTATATGCGTAATTTAATATCATGCGATTTTTGCTTTTAGGACTGATCAAGAGTTCGCCTAACGTGCTCCTAGAAGCAGCAGCTCCTTTGGCGCGAGGCAAGTT